ACCCAGTCCAGAACCCGTTGGATTATTCTGACGAGTCCGTTCCAGCTTCGTAAACAGAGAAAAGAGACGCATTTTCTCCTCTGCATCCATACCGATTCCTGTATCAATGACTTGGAACAAGAGTTTCTTGAATGCTTTCGGGAGTTCCGGCGTGTATACAACACTACAGGTGACTGTGATGGAGCCTTCATTCGTGAACTTGATCGCGTTAGACAACAAATTCAAGAGTACTTGACGTAGACGCACCACATCACCGATGGCAACCTTCGGTACGTTTTCGTCACACTTAAGCTCGAGTTTCAGTCCACGTTCTCGGGCCTTAAACTTGAAGATCTCAATCGAATAATCCAGTAGTTCGTGCATCTGGAACGGTGCAGCTGATATCTCAAGGTGTCCTGCCTCAATCTTCGACAAGTCCAAAATATCGTTAATCAAATTCAGAAGAAGCGATCCTGACACGTACGCCATGTGCACATATCTCTCCGGTGCCTTGTCCAAAGGCTGCTCCTTCAGAAGTTCCAACATACCCAGCACACCATTCAACGGTGTCCGCAACTCGTGACTGAATGAAGCCAGGAAATTCACCTTGGCAGCTTCCATGTGCTTCCTCGCAGTGTAGTCTTGTCCAACACCGATCACGCCTCGGATGTTCCCATGCATATCTTTCTTACTCGAGGCATTCACAAGGAGCAGTAAGAACACACCGCGCTTTGTTGTCATCGGAAGCTCCATCTCACCAACATCAATGCCAATCAGTGCTTGGTTCAACAATTGCCGAACCTGCTGTCTGCTTTCCGGGATGATAAACGTGTGCACTAACGACAAACCCAGTACACTCGACTTGTGATAGCCTGTGATCTCCTCAATCTTCTGGTTCCATTCGTTGATGCAGCCATTTGTATCGATACCAAAGATAGGCGCATTAGCCGTATCAATAAGTCGGAAGTACTCGTGCTCTTGGGCGATACGATCCGTGATATCTTGGCCGATACCGACAACGCCGACGATACTGCCGTTTGAGTCGTACCGTGGTGTTGCATTCAGCAAGATCTCGATTCTTGTGCCTGGACGAGTAATCAATGGGAACTCAAAGTTCGCGGTCTCAACACCTCTCAGCGCTTGTGAGAGAACTTCAGCCACAATCGGTCGAAACTCGGGCGAAATAAACGTCTCCACAAGGTTCTCGCCCATGACTTCATCGATGGCATAATTCGTAATGTGAGCGGCCTTCCTGTTCCAGATATTGACGCACATGTTGGCATCCACACCAAAGATGGGAGCGTTAGCCGTATCGATCAAACGGCTGTACTCCTGTTCCTGCGCAATACGCTCTGTAATGTCCTGGCCGATACCAACCATACCCTTCACTTCACCGTGCTCGTTATAACGCGGTGTCGCGTTCAGCAAAATCTCCACACGCCGACCAGCCTTCGTAATCAACGGGAACTCAAAATTTGCAGTCTCAAACCCTTCGAACGCCTTCTCAAGGACACTGCGCACAGGCACCTTGTACTCCTCCGAGATAAACTCCGCAACTAAGTCCTTGCCCAGCACATCCTCATTCGTGTACTGCATAATGTCGGCTGCCTTCCGGTTCCAGATATTCACACGGCCACTGGAGTCTACACCAAAGATCGGGGCATTTGCAGTATCGATAAGCCGGCTGTACTCCTGTTCCTGAGCGATGCGGTCAGTAATGTCCTGGCCGATTCCAACCATACCAATCACTTCTCCATGCTCATTAAACCTCGAGGTAGCATTCAGCAAAATCTCTACTCGTCGTCCTGCCTTTGTCATCAATGGGAACTCAAAGTTAGCTGTTTCAACCCCTTCCAGCGCCTTCGTTAGAACGAGACCAACAGCCTCACGGTAATCTTCCGTGATGAACTTCTCCACCAAATTCTCGCCCATCACATCAGTTGGCGAGTGCTGCGTAATTTCAGCCGCCTTCTCGTTCCAAATATTTACTCGGCCATCGCCATCGACACCGAAAATCGGAGCATTTGCTGAGTCAATCAGCCTCGCATACTCTTGTTCTTGAGCGATACGGTCGGTAATGTCCTGGCCGATACCCACGACACCAACAATGCGTCCGTGATGATCGAAGCGAGCAGTTGCATTCAGTAAAATGTTCAGCTTTCGCCCGGTCTTAGTGATCACTGGCACTTCAAAGCTCGCAGTTTCGTTTCCTTGCAAAGCATTCGACATGATCTCGTACACAATTGCCTGATACTTGGGAGCGATAAACGTTTCCACGTACTTCTCTCCCAGCACTTCTTCGACGGCATAATTCGTGATCTGCGCTGCCTTGTTGTTCAGAATATTCACGCACATATTTGCGTCGATGCCGAAAATCGGGGCATTCGCCGTATCGATCAAACGGCTGTACTCTTGCTCCTGCGCAATACGATCCGTAATATCCTGGCCAATTCCGACCATTCCCATCACTTGGCCTTGCTCGTTGTACCGAGGCGTAGCATTCAACAGGATTTCCACACGTCGACCAGCCTTCGTAATGAGCGGGAACTCGAAGTTCGCGGTCTCCACGCCTTCAAACGCCTTCTCCAGAACACATCGAACAGCCACGCGGTACTCCTTTGAGATAAACTTGGCCACAAGATCTTCTCCGAGCACGTCTTCAGTCGTGTATTGCATAATATCAGCAGCCCTTCTATTCCAGATGTTCACCAGACCGTTCGAATCAACGCCGAAAATGGGAGCGTTCGCTGTATCAATGAGACGCATGTACTCCTTCTCCTGTGCAATCCGATCTGTAATATCCTGACCAATACCAACCATTCCGATCACTTCTCCGTGATCGTTGTTCCTTGGTGTAGCGTTCAACAAGATTTCCACTCGCCGGCCAGACTTGGTGACCAGAGGGAATTCGAAATTCGCCGTCTCGACGCCTTCCAGTGCCTTCGACAGCACGAGTCCTACTGCTTCGCGGTAATCCTCCGTGATAAACTTCTCCACCAGATTCTCACCCATCACGTCCGTCGGCGTGTACTGTGTGATCTCCGCTGCTTTCTTGTTCCAGATATTCACAAGCCCGTTCGCATCGACACCAAAGATTGGCGCATTTGCAGAGTCAATCAGTCGCGCATATTCCTCTTCTTGCGCGATGCGATCAGTAATGTCTTGGCCGATACCCACGACGCCGACGATATGCCCATGCTGGTCGAAACGAGCTGTAGCGTTCAGCAGAATATTCAGTTTTCGCCCGGTTTTCGTTATCACTGGCACCTCGAAACTTGCCGTCTCATCTCCATGCAACGCTTTCGACATGATGTCATAAACGATAGCTTGATACTCAGGAGCGATGAACGTTTCCACGTACTTTTCTCCCCGCACTTCTTCGACGGCATAATTCGTGATTTGAGCAGCTTTCTTGTTCAGAATATTCACGCACATATTCGCGTCGATGCCGAAGATCGGGGCATTTGCTGTATCGATCAAGCGGCTGTACTCTTGCTCCTGCGCAATACGATCGGTGATATCCTGACCAATGCCCACCATGCCCATCACTTTGCCTTGCTCATTGTAGCGTGGAGTGGCGTTCAGCAGGATCTCAACGCGTCGTCCTGCCTTGGTAATCAACGGAAACTCGAAGTTGGCAGTCTCCACACCTTCAAATGCCTTCTCCAGTACACTGCGGACAGGTACCTTGTACTCATTCGAAATGAACTCGGCAACTAGGTCCTTACCAAGCACATCTTCCGTAGTGTACTGCATGATGTCTGCAGCCTTCCGATTCCAGATGTTCACTAGTCCGTTCGAGTCCACGCCGAAGATTGGAGCATTCGCTGTGTCGATGAGTCGCATGTACTCTTTCTCTTGCGCAATACGATCCGTGATATCCTGGCCAATCCCAACCATACCCATCACTTCGCCATGCTCATTGTAGCGCGGGGTAGCGTTCAACAGGATCTCCACTCGCCGGCCCGACTTCGTAATCAACGGAAACTCGAAGTTCGCAGTCTCCACGCCTTCAAAAGCCTTCTCTAACACGCTGCGAACAGGAACCTTGTACTCTTCCGAAATGAACTCCGCAACAAGATCCTTGCCTAGCACATCCACGTCCGTATACTGCGTGATATTTGCTGCTTTCCGGTTCCAAATATTGACTCGGCCATCAGAATCCACTCCAAATATCGGGGCGTTGGCCGTATCGATCAGCCTCATGTACTCTTGCTCTTGTGCAATACGATCCGTGATATCTTGGCCAATGCCAACCATACCAATCACAGCTCCGTGTTCATTGTACCGTGGCGTTGCATTCAGCAAGATCTCAATACGACGGCCTGTCTTCGTGATCAACGGGAACTCAAAATTCGCAGTTTCGACGCCATTCAGCGCTTCGGATAGCACGTAACTCACAGCCTCCTGATAGTCATACGTAATAAACTTTTCGACGAGATGCTCGCCCATGACCGCATCAGCAGGATACTGCATAATCTCCGCAGCCTTTTTGTTCCAGATGTTTACACGCCCTTCGGAGTCGACTCCAAAAATCGGGGCGTTAGCAGTATCAATCAAACGGATGAGCTCCTGCTCCTGCGCAATCCGTTCAGTAATATCCTGTCCAATGCCCACAACACCAAAAATCTGTCCAAGCTCATCGGATCTGGGAGTCGCATTCAGCAAGATCTCGACTCGACGCCCAGTCTTCGTGATAAGCGGAAAGTCAAAGTTGTTTGTCTGTTCACCTTCAAACGCTCGTTGGAGCTCCAATTTAACTGTTGCTCGGTGTTCTTCTGCGACAAAGCGGTTGATAAGATCCTTGCCCATGACCTCTTCGGCGGAGTATTGCGTGATTTCTGCGGCTTTGAGATTCCAGATATTTACGAGGCCGTCCCGGTCAACACCGAAGATCGGAGCATTTGCCGAGTGTATAAGTCGGTTAGTCTCCTTCTCCTGGGCCATGCGAATCGTAATATCCTGACCGATACCAACAACGCCAATCACCACGCCCTTCTCGTTATACCGTGGAGTGGCGTTCAGCAAAATCTCCACACGACGACCGTCCTTTTGTGATCAACGGAAACTCAAAGTTTGCTGTGTCTTGGCCTTCAATGCTTGAGATAAAACGGCCCACACTGCGTCTTTGAAGTCTTCTGGAATAAAATTCTCGACTAAGTTCGCCCCGAGTACTTCTTCATTCGGATACTGGGTCGTGTCGGCAGCTTTCTTGTTCCAGATGTTCACACAACCGTTCGCATCTACTCCGAAAATTGGAGCATTGGCCGTGTCAATGAGACGCGTATACTCATGCTCTTGAGCACGTCTATCAGTGATATCCTGGCCGATTCCCACTGCCCCACAAATATTACCAAAGTGATCATACTTCGGAGTCGCATTCAACAGAATATCCAGTCGCCGTCCGCTTTTCGTGATCAGCGGGAAATCGAAGTTTGCCGTGCCTTTTCCTTCCAGAGCTTTCGAGAAAACCTTAGCAACAGCATCTCGGTAGTCTTCCGAAATGAACTTGAACAGTTCCTGGCCAATTGTGTCTTCGTTCGTGTACTCGGTGATAGCAGCTGCCTTCTTGTTCCATATAATCACCTCGTAGTTGCAATCGACACCAAAGATCGGGGCATTGGCAGTATCAATCAGCCGGCTGTACTCCTTCTCCTGGATAATACGATCCGTGATGTCCTGTCCTATTCCGACCACACCTACTAACTTGCCAGTGTGGTCGTAGCGCGGAGTGGCGTTCAGCAGAAGCTCCACTTTTCGACCAGTCTTCGTGACCAACGGGAACTCAAAGTTTGCGGTCTCAATTCCCTGAAATGCTCTCTGGAATACAGCAGCCACTTCTGACCGGAAATCTTCCGAGATGAGCGTATCGACCAGATCCACGCCCATAACCTCGTCGGGCGCGTATTCACTGATCTGTGCTGCCTTAGCGTTGAAAATCACCACGCGGCCTTCCGTATCCACGCCAAAGATCGGTGCGTTGGCCGTCTCGATGAGCTTCTTGTACTCCAACTCCTTAGTATTCCTCTCCGTCACATCTTGTCCGATAGCAACGACCCCCATCACCGATCCCAAAGTATCAAATCTCGGCGTCAAGCACAGCACAATCTCGACTCTTGACCCTCTTGCTGTCACCAAAGGCAGCTCAAAATCTGCGCCGGCAATGCCCGAGAGTGCCTGTTCGATCTTTTCCGAGACGATCTTCCTAAAACTCTCGTCTACAACGGGAAGTAGCGGTTCGCCCACCATATCAACACTTGCATAGCCCGTCATGGACGCAGTCTTGGAGTTCCACACTGTGATATTCCCTTCCTTGTCCAGCTCAATGATGGGCGCGTTAGCTTGCATCATGACTGTGGCGTACTGTTTCTCCTGGATAGCCCACTCCGTCACGTCCTGGCCGACGCCGTAGACACCTATACATGTGCCGTCCTCGGCCAGCAATGGCGTCATGTTGGTTAGTACTTGTGCGTTGCGGCCCTTAGTGTTCCTCAGCGGTATGCGCAGCTCCAGCTCCGGCCGTTTATCTTCGATACAGGCCGTGATGGTGTCTATAATCTCCTGCTTGCGCTGCTTGCCGTATACAAAGTCTGATATGGGGCGGCCAATAACGCGGTCGGCTTCGAAGCCCGTAATTTCCTCCATGCGCGGGTTCCAGAGCGCCACGCGGCCATCGGTACGAACACCGAGAGCGGGAGCGTTGGCGTCGTTTAGCATGCGAAACAGTTCCTGCACGCGCGGCCACGCAGCATCAGAGGTTGCACTGTCATTTTGTAGGGCTTCTGGTGGCGATGGTGCCGGTAGCGCGTCCGGCACCGCGCTGGACGCGCGGCCGCGCTTCCCCTTGGACGGCGCCATTGCGGAATACTTTTGCGAGGAAAGTTTGTATGAGGGTTTGTAAGGGTGACGACCCTGTCGTGAGTGGTACGTGCTTGCCCTCAGTCGCGTTTTTAGCCCTAAAAAGTATCACTTTTGATGGGCAAAAAAAACCACTGCAACTGCAACATGGCACGAAAGAAATGTCGATTAGAGCGATGGCATTCGAGTTCATTAATTTGGAGTTTGGAGGCGATGGCGCCTTACTTACGCTACAGCTATTCAGATACTAGTTAGACGCTTATTAGTGCTGAGACGATAAGTAGTTTTTTAACGGTGGTGGCCCACCACCGTTAAAAACCACTGGTGGGTGGTGGATGGTGGATGGTGGATGCTCGTTCCTCGTCGTTTCGGGTCTTTAGCAACTGTTGGCTCCGCAACAGCTCCAGGGTAAGAAGTAATCGTACCAACGGCAGCCTTTGATGTTGGTGACCGCCTCGTACAGAGGGCTGGAGGCATCCGCACTCGCTGACTCTGCTTCAAGGCGAGTCCTTGTCCGTCAGGTGGGCATTCGCAGGGTCGAGGACGAGCACAGCGAGCACGAGAGAGGCGGCGAACTGCTTGAGCATCGTGATGTGAGGCTTGAGTTGTTGGAGGCGAATTCGCGAATGAGCTGGAAGGAGAAGTGGAAGCATTAATCTAGCTCACATCCATGCAAATGCTGGTGAACACAATGGTCTAGCGGCATGGTGAGGGTATCTGTGGTAATACCTACGATACCGCAACTTGTTACAGGTCTTCACAGGTGTTGCGCAGTGATTTCCGGTTAGTTAGCTCAGAGTATTTTCACTCCACCGGTGACACAAGCCGATTTTGCGATCATTCTATCTTGATCCATAAAATCTTCCCGGATTTGGTCTTTCAACATTTTCTTCAACTGTTGTCGTTTGTTTTGACCGAAAGCACTGTAGCGTATTCACCGAATTACCGCAATCTGAGCAAACGTTGCAAAGACTAATGAAGTCGAGAGAATATCGACGAGCTACTGTATCAACGTAAAACAAAATTGCAGCTGAGTATTATGTTGGGTTTTCATCGCTCTCATGTAATATTGCCTTGGCCACTCTTCAATTGTCTACTTCCCACGACGAATCTGTTAGAAACTATTTTTCGTTAGAACAAAGTATAACACATTTAAACCGTCTTGAGCATAAGACAAACTACATGTATAACAGCATTGGGAAGATGTGGGGCATAACGGATCAGTACTCGCTATTAATAGCTGAACCACAAACGTAAAATTTTCGCTAGATCCAAGATTGCACCAGCTCAACAGAAAATAACTACTGTGAAGTGGTTACAGAAGCTACCGATAGTCTGAGCCAAACTAATTTAAGCTAGCAGAAGAAAATAATCTACATCATGCAGACTAATTTGGAGACTTGAATTTAAAATTAGTGACATACAAATGCTTGTAAACTACTCTGAATCCTTCCTGTTACCTGGGTCTCTCATGATCATGTTAACCAGCGACTCTGCTGTGGTGTCGCTATCATTTAATGCATGCTACATGGATAGTAAGATGATTTCTGTCATACATCAAGAATAGTGGTCCTTGCGAAAGCGTCAACACTCAAGGAGTTATTCAACTTCGGCTCTTGCCAAACCGAATGATGTTGCTGTAGTGCGCAGCAGGCTTACGAGCACAGGCTCACCTCTCTGCCGCATTGATCGTCAGCATTTCCGGTAGTCTAAGAAGCGATGTGTCCAGATTTCAGATTTTCATGCTATCAATAAACTTAATAAGACACTAAAAAGTGCTAGCAGTAAAAAGTATCTGCTTAAAAAACGTTTCTGGTCAAGCACCGCACAAAAATGCTCGTGTGTTTCGTAATCTAGAATGGTTTAAAAAGTACAAGTACACGCACGACGAAAGCTGCCAGTCAAGCAACAACTTGATGGCATAGCAAAAAATCAAATTCTTCTGATGCGGTTTAGAGAAAGCATATGTCAGTTTAAACAGCAATATTTTAAAGCTTTCGCTGCTTTAAAATCTGTATCACCCTGCACCGGAAGTTGTTACTGTACTGTATTTTTTTGGCTACAGCGTGTGGTGCAGGTAACTTCTGCATTAGCGTGTCACCTGATTGACTACGGTCCTGAATAGCGAGTGGAATGCCTCCGTAATACTCACAGCAGTGCATGCTGACGTCTCGAAGTACTCGAATCCTTTGGCCTGGGCGTAGACCCTCGCTTCATCTTCGGAGACAACACGAGGGCGGTCGACCTTGTTTCCACACAAAATGCACGGAAACTTGCCAGCGCCAAACTTGGCAGCTTCTCGCAACCAGCTATCGAGAGACTCGAAACTCTTCCTTGACGACACGTCGAACATTAAAATTCCTCCTTGTGTGTCCTTGTAGAACTCGTTTCGCACCTCCAGGTACTCCGGCAAACCCGAGAGGTCCCAGAAGTTGACCCGCACTTCAACTCCATTGACCATCACTGGTTTGACGCCATAGTCGATGCCAATGGTCGAGATATACTTGCTAACAAACTTCTCTTCGCAGTAACGCTTGATCACACAACTCTTCCCAACGCCGCTCTCCCCCATCGAGATAATTTTCACTCGCAGCGCACTTGGCAAACTGTTGTCCTGGTTGGCATCGTCGTCGCCACAGCTCAGCGAGTTGCCACCAAAAAGGCCCGTCGACTTGTCTCTGTTATCGCTTAAATGCCGTCTCGACATGGTATTCCACAATCTAACAAGAGGGAGTTTCACTTGCACAAAAGAAAACAGTCTGTATTTCATATATTTTTACTCATCTACACACATTTCAAGAAGCGACATATTTGTTTTTTTTTGTTCTCACATGACGAGGCATGGGCCAGTAGGTTTGTCTTCATCGTAAGGTAGTTGGCCTGGAGTCACTTGAGACGGACCAGCTTGATTTTTGAACTCGAAGTTGCGTCGAAGATATCCGCGTAGCAGTCGCTGTTCCGTCCTAAGCAACCGGACCGAGTCATCTACGATCTGCTTCGCGGCCAGGGTGTCGGAGCCTTCACCAGTTGCCTGCTGTGCCATCAGATGCTCATACGCGACTTGGACGCGGAAGGCACACTTGGACACACGAAGAGCAGCCACGTAAGCCGACGATCCCTTGAGGGAATGTGCTTCGCGACGAGCAGTGACAAAGTCGTTGCGTTCGTGGGCCTCGACGACCCGAGTCGTGATCGCTTCTGACGTCGTCGCAAACTTCTCCAAGAGCGTCAAGAGGAGCCCTTCCTGTCCTCCACACTGATCCACTCCCAAGCTGTAGTTCACTGGGTCTCCTTCCGGGATCTCGATGCTCATCGGGTCGATCGAATGGGAGACCGCCAACGCGCCCTGAGCAGGAGTAATGGTCGCCGTAACTGCAGCATCGTCTTCCATCGAGCTGCCAGTTTCCATGTGCTCCAATACAGAAGGCATACTGCTACCGATGCTGCTATGTCCAGTTCTGCTCGGATGGCTCGCTTCAAGTTCCTCGTGGAAGCTTACCTTCTTCTTCGGCGCAAGACCAGACCAAGCGTGCGGGCGTTCACTGGGGAGATCTTTCGTGTTGAACGGTGGGTGACTCCACAGCGTCGGATTTGATAGCGGGGAGCGCGCTCCATGTTGAGCTGGACTATTCATCACGCCAATAAACGGAGTCTTCACGTAAGGCAACGTAGTTGACGTCTCGGTTGGCTTCTCTCGTTCAGCCGGGGTTGCTGTAGACGCCCCGCTAGTATTTCGGGACAACCTCAACACATCCGGTAGATCGTTGGTACTTGTCTGTCGCGCAATGTTATTCACGGAAGGACCCAAGCTGAAGATTGACGTCGTCGGGGTAGCTGTCCGAACCGCTCGGCCACTTTGAAGACCAATCGACATGGGATCATCAAGCTCCAAATTCGAGATCGCCTGCGCAAGATCCAGTTGTTGCATGTGACGAGATGCAGGCGCCAGTCTGGCCGTCGAGGCCGCATCCATTAGCGTGACATCTTCCAGGTCGTTCTCAAACGATGGCATCGGAGTGAGGGCTCCTGGAGCTGGCGCAGGGATCCGCATGGGGCTTTTCGCAGTCGGACGGGGGCCATTGCGAAGCGTCAAAGGCTGTCCCACGACTCCAGGTACAGCTCCAAGAGCAGCGTTGTGTTGACCCAGATAGCGAATACGCATCCACTGTCGGATGGCCTTACGAAGACTCAGCTTGGAGATGGGCTTGACCATAAACTCATCCATTCCGCAGTCGAGACACTTCTGTCGGTCGCCGCTCATCGCGTACGCCGTCAATCCGAGGATCGGAATGCGCGAAAGGTTGTGCTTTTGTTCAAACTCTCGGATCGCGTTCGTAGCAGTGTAGCCATCCATAATTGGCATTTCGCAATCCATGAAGACCAAGTCGAACTCCGTGTGGTTCTCGCTGTACGCCTTCACTGCATCGCGGCCATTCACTTCCCATTGAAGCAGGTGGTCATCTTGCTGTAGGAAACATTTCACCACTTCCCAGTTAAACTCGTTGTCTTCTACAACCAGGATACGCGCCTGCTTCGGAACTTCAGCTCGCACAGTTGAATTTTCGCCGTTTTCGCCAGCACGGACACCTCCATTAGGCGAGAGTAATGCCGTCGACGGGTCCAGGAAGTCCTCGGACGAGTAATACGCGTGTTTGGGATCCACCTCGTCGATCAATCGTACCACCACAGTAAAGAAGAAGTTGCTGCCAACGCCCAGTTCACTGTCAACATCGATAGAACCATCCATAAGTTCTGCGAGCTGCTTGCAAATGGCAAGACCCAGTCCGGATCCGGTAGGATTGTTCTGTCGCGTACGTTCCAGCTTCGTAAACAGAGAGAAGAGACGCATTTTCTCCTCTGCATCCATGCCGATGCCGGTGTCGATAACTTGGAACAGCAGTTTCTTGAATTGAGGAGGCAATTCCGGAGAGTGGACGACGCTGCATGCGACGGTGATGGAGCCTTCGTTCGTAAACTTGATGGCGTTCGACAGCAAATTGAGCAACACTTGACGCAGACGCACCACATCACCGATCACAGCCTTCGGCACGTTGTCACCGCACTTTAATTCAAGCTTCAGGCCACGTTCTTTGGCCTTAAACTTGAAAATCTCGATTGAATAGTCCAGCAAGTCGTGCATCTGGAACGGTGCCGTGGAAATCTCTAGATGGCCAGCTTCTATCTTGGACAAGTCCAGAATATCGTTGATCAGGTTCAGGAGAAGAGATCCCGACACGTACGCCATGTGCACATACCGCTCGATAGACTTATCCAGAGGCTGTTCCTTCAATAGTTCCAACATACCCAGCACACCATTCAACGGCGTTCGGAGCTCATGACTAAATGAAGCCAAGAAATTCACCTTGGCAGCCTCCATGTGCTTCCTCGCAGTGTAGTCTTGTCCGACCCCGATCACGCCTCGGATGTTCCCGTGCATGTCCTTCTTACTCGACGCATTCACTAGAAGCAACAGGAACACGCCACGCTTCGTTGTCATCGGGAGCTCCATTTCGCCAACGTCAATGCCGATCAGTGCTTGGTTCAGGAGCTGGCGCACTTGCTGCCTGCAGTCTGGAGTCACGAAGGTATGCACCAGCGACAAACCCAGTACATTCGACTTGTGGTAACCTGTAATCTCCTCGATCTTCTGGTTCCACTCATTAATGCGGCCGTTGTTATCAATACCAAAGATCGGAGCGTTCGCAGTATCAATCAGTCGGAAGTACTCGTGTTCTTGGGCGATACGATCCGTGATATCCTGCCCGATACCCACGACACCGACAATATTACCGTTTAAGTCATATCGCGGCGTCGCGTTCAGCAAGATCTCGATTCTCGTGCCTGGTCGGGTAATCAGTGGGAACTCAAAGTTCGCAGTCTCTACTCCTGTAAGAGCTTGCGACAACACTTCAGCCACGATCGGTCGGAACTCGGGCGAAATAAACGTCTCCACAAGGTTCTCGCCCATCACCTCTCCAATCGAATAGTTCGTGATCTGAGCGGCCTTCCTGTTCCAGATATTGACGCACATGTTGGCATCCACACCGAAGATCGGAGCATTTGCCGTATCGATCAAGCGACTGTACTCCTGTTCCTGAGCGATGCGTTCTGTGATGTCCTGGCCGATACCAACCATGCCCTTCACTTCACCGTGTTCGTTGTAACGCGGTGTCGCGTTCAGCAAGATTTCTACACGACGACCAGCTTTCGTGATCAATGGGAACTCAAAGTTCGCAGTCTCTACACCTTCGAAGGCTTTCTCCAACACACTGCGCACGGGCACCTTGTACTCCTCTGAGATGAACTCCGCGACCAAATCCTTACCCAGCACATCCTCGTTCGTGTACTGCATGATATGAGCTGCCTTGCGGTTCCAAATGTTCACGTGGCCGTTGATATCCACACCGAAAATCGGAGCATTTGCTGTATCAATCAAGCGCGTGTACTCTTGCTCTTGGGCGATGCGTTCTGTAATATCCTGACCAATGCCAACCATACCCATCACCTCACCATGCTCGTTGTATCGCGGGGTAGCATTCAAAAGGATTTCCACGCGGCGACCAGCTTTCGTGATTAACGGGAATTCGAAGTTGGCCGTTTCAATACCTTCAAAAGCCTTCTCCAAGACACTGCGGACAGGCATTTTGTACTCATTCGAGATGAACTCAGCCACCAAATCCTTACCCAGTACTTCTGCGTTTGTGTACTGGGTGGTTTCGGCCGCCTTTCGGTTCCAGATATTGACACGACCATTGATGTCGACACCAAAAATCGGGGCGTTCGCAGTGTCAATCAAGCGAGTGTACTCCTGCTCCTGGGCGATACGTTCGGTGATATCCTGACCAATACCCACAACTCCCATCACTTCGCCAATCTCATTGAACCTCGACGTAGCATTTAGCAGGATCTCCACTCGTCTACCAGCCTTAGTCATCAATGGGAACTCAAAGTTAGCGGTCTCCGTTCCCTCACACGCCTTGGAAAACACGAGCCCAACAGCCTCGCGATAGTCTTCCGTGATAAACTTCTCCACCAAGTTCTCACCCATCACATCGTTCGGCGTGTACTGCGTGATCTCCGCAGCTTTCTTGTTCCAGATATTCACGCAGCCGTTCACGTCCACACCGAAGATCGGAGCGTTGGCCGAGTCGATTAATCTCGTGTATTCCTGCTCCTGGGCAATTCGATCGGTGATATCCTGACCAATACCCACGACACCGACGATCTGGCCATGCTGATCGAAGCGAGCCGTGGCATTCAAAAGAATGTTCACCTTACGACCGGTCTTGGTAGTAAGCGCCAACTCGAAGCTGGCGGTCTCATTACCCTGCAGCGCTTTGCACATGATGTCGTACGTGACGGCCTTGAACTCCTGCGAGATGATAGTCTCCACATACATTTCACCCACCAACTCTTCCGACGAAAAGTTGGTAATCTGCTGCGCCTTGCGGTTGAAAATGTTGATGCGCATGTTCGTATCCACACCAAAAATCGGAGCATTAGCCGTATCGATCAGGCGACTGTACTCTTGTTCTTGAGCGATGCGTTCCGTGATATCCTGACCGATACCCACCATGCCCATAACGTCTCCACGTTCATTGTAGCGGGGTGTTGCGTTCAGTAGAATCTCAACGCGGCGACCAGCCTTCGTGATCAACGGGAACTCGAAATTGGCAGTTTCGACACCTTCGAACGCCTTCTCCAGGACACTACGTACAGGTTCCTTGTACTCCTTCGAAATGAATTCAGCAACCAGGTCCTTGCCCAACACATCTTCATTCGTATACTGCATGATGTCAGCAGCTTTACGATTCCAGATGTTGACACAGCCGTTGATATCCACACCGAAAATTGGTGCATTGGCCGTGTCTATCAGGCGACTATACTCTTCCTCTTGGGCAATACGTTCCGTAATATCCTGACCAATTCCTACCATTCCCATGACTTCACCGCGTTCATTGTAACGAGGTGTCGCGTTCAGTAGAATTTCCACACGCCGACCAGCCTTCGTGATCAACGGGAACTCAAAGTTAGCAGTCTCGATGCCTTCGAAAGCTTTCTCCAGTACGCTGCGTACAGGCACCTTGTACTCCTTCGAGATGAACTCAGCCACCAAATCTTTACCCAACACGTCCTCATTCGTGTACTGCATAATATCGGCAGCCTTCCGGTTCCAGATGTTGACGTGTCCGTTGATATCCACACCAAAGATCGGGGCATTGGCCGTGTCAATCAAACGGCTGTACTCCTGTTCCTGCGCAATACGCTCCGTGATATCCTGACCGATACCAACCATGCCCTTCACTTCACCGTGCTCGTTGTAACGAGGAGTCGCGTTCAGCAGAATTTCAACACGCCGACCAGCCTTCGTGATCAGCGGGAACTCGAAGTTTGCAGTCTCGACACCTTCGAACGCCTTCTCAAGAACACTACGCACTGGCACCTTGTATTCGTTCGAGATGAACTCTGCAACCAGGTCCTTGCCCAACACATCCTCGTTCGTGTACTGCATGATATGAGCTGCCTTGCGATTCCAAATGTTCACGTGACCGTTTATGTCGACACCAAAGATCGGGGCGTTGGCCGTATCGATCAAGCGACTGTATTCTTGTTCCTGAGCAATACGCTCCGTGATATCCTGGCCAATACCGACCATACCCATCACTTCACCACGCTCGTTGTAGCGAGGTGTTGCGTTTAGAAGGATTTCCACGCGGCGACCCGCCTTCGTTATCAACGGGAACTCGAAGTTGGCTGTTTCGATACCTTCAAAAGCTTTCTCCAAGACGCTTCGCACTGGCACCTTGTACTCGTTGGAGATGAACTCAACCACCAAATCCTTGCCCAACACATCTTCGTTCGAGTACTGCATAATGTCGGCCGCTTTCCGGTTCCAAATGTTCACGTGACCGTTTATATCCACACCAAAAATGGGCGCGTTTGCAGTGTCGATCAAGCGCGTGTACTCCTGTTCCTGAGCGATGCGTTCCGTGATATCCTGACCAATACCGACCATGCCCATAACCTCGCCATGCTCGTTATAGCGGGGTGTAGCATTCAACAAAATCTCCACTCGTCGGCCAGCCTTCGTGATAAGCGGGAACTCGAAATTTGCCGTCTCCACACCTTCGAAAGCTTTCTCCAGCACACTCCGCACTGGCACCTTGTACTCCTTCGAGATAAACTCAGCCACTAAATCCTTACCCAGTACTTCTGCGTTCGTGTACTGGGTAGTTTCGGCCGCCTTTCGGTTCCAGATATTCACACGACCGTTGATGTCGACACCAAAAATCGGGGCGTTCGCAGTGTCAATCAAGCGAGTGTACTCCTGCTCCTGGGCAATACGTTCAGTGATATCTTGACCGATACCGACCATACCAATGACTTCTCCATGTTCGTTGAACCTTGACGTAGCATTCAGCAGGATCTCCACTCGTCTTCCTGCCTTGGTCATCAATGGGAACTCGAAGTTAGCTGTTTCAACTCCATCTAGAGCCTTCGAAAGAACAAGTCCAACTGCCTTACGGTAATCTTCCGTGATAAACTTCTCCACCAAGTTCTCACCCATCACATCGTTCGGCGTGTACTGCGTGATCTCCGCAGCTTTCTTGTTCCAGATATTCACGCAGCCGTTCACGTCCACACCAAAGATCGGAGCATTAGCCGAGTCGATTAATCGCGTGTATTCCTGCTCCTGGGCAATACGATCGGTGATATCCTGACCAATACCAACCATCCCCATAACCTCTCCACGCTCGTTATATCGAGGAGTAGCATTCAACAAGATCTCGACGCGACGGCCAGCTCTCGTGATCAATGGAAACTCGAAGTTCGCAGTCTCAACACCCTCAAAGGCCTTTTCAAGAACACTACGAACAGGTACCTTATACTCCTTCGAAATGAACTCAGCAACCAGGTCCTTGCCCAACACATCCTCATTCGTGTACTGCATGATGTCAGCAGCCTTACGATTCCAAATGTTCACACGTCCATTGATATCCACACCGAAAATTGGTGCATTGGCCGTGTCGATCAGGCGACTGTACTCTTCCTCCTGAGCAATACGTTCCGTAATATCCTGACCAATACCTACCATACCCATGACCTCTCCACGTTCATTGTAACGAGGTGTGGCGTTCAGAAGAATCTCCACCCGACGGCCAGCCTTCGTGATCAATGGGAACTCAAAGTTGGCAGTTTCGATGCCCTCGAACGCCTTCTCCAGTACACTACGCACAGGCACCTTGTACTCGTTCGAGATGAACTCAGCTACCAAGTCTTTACCCAGCACGTCCTCATTTGTGTACTGCATGATATGGGCTGCCTTTCGATTCCAAATATTCACGTGGCCGTTGATGTCTACTCCGAAAATCGGAGCGTTGGCTGTATCAATGAGACGTGTGTACTCTTGCTCCTGCGCGATGCGCTCCGTGATATCCTGGCCAATACCAACCATGCCCATAACCTCACCATGCTCGTTGTAGCGCGGAGTAGCATTCAGCAAAATCTCCACTCGTCGACCTGCCTTTGTAATAAGAGGGAACTCGAAATTTGCCGTCTCCACGCCTTCGAATGCCTTCTCCAACACACTTCGAACAGGCACCTTGTACTCCTCCGAAATGAATTCAGCCACCAAATCCTTGTCCAGCACATCTTCGTTGGTATACTGCATGATATGAGCAGCCTTACGGTTCCAAATATTCACACGGCCATTGATATCCACACCAAAGATCGGAGCGTTGGCCGTGTCGATCAGACGGCTGTACTCTTGCTCCTGGGCGATGCGCTCTGTGATATCCTGGCCAATACCAACCATTCCCATGACCTCGCCGCGCTCATTGTAGCGAGGCGTCGCATTCAACAAGATTTCCACACGACGACCGGCTCTTGTGATCAACGGGAACTCGAAGTTCGCAGTTTCGACTCCCTCGAAAGCTTTCTCGAGAACACTTCGCACGGCGACACGGTATTCTTCAGAGATAAACTGCTCTACCAAGTTCTTGCCAAGAACATCCTCGTTGGTATACTGCATGATGTCAGCTGCCTTCCGATTCCAGATGTTAACTCTCCCATCGGTGTCAACACCAAAGATCGGAGCATTTGCCGTATCAATCATTCGACTGTGCTCCTGTTCCTGGGCAATACGATCGGTGATATCCTGACCAATACCAACCATCCCCATGACCTCTCCACGCTCATTGTATCGAGGAGTAGCATTCAACAAGATCTCGACGCGCCGACCAGCTCTCGTGATCAATGGAAACTCGAAGTTCGCAGTCTCAACACCCTCAAAGGCCTTCTCGAGAACACTTCGGACAGGCACCTTATACTCCTCCGAAAATGAACTCAGCAACCAGGTCCTTGCCCAACACATCCTTCATTCGTATACTGCATGATGTCAGCAGCCTTCCGGTTCCAGATGTTCACACGTCCGTTGATATCCACACCAAAAATTGGAGCATTGGCCGTGTCTATCAGGCGACTGTACTCTTCCTCCTGGGCAATGCGCTCCGTGATATCCTGGCCGATACCCACCATACCCATGACCTCACCACGCTCATTGTAGCGTGGAGTAGCGTTCAGAAGAATCTCCACCCGACGGCCAGCCTTCGTGATCAGCGGGAACTCAAAGTTGGCTGTTTCAATACCTTCAAAAGCCTTCTCCAACACGCTGCGCACAGGCACCTTGTACTCCTCCGAAATAAACTCAGCAACCAGGTCCTTGCCCAATACATCCTCATTCGTATACTGCATAATGTCAGCAGCCTTACGATTCCAGATGTTCACACGTCCGTTGATATCCACTCCAAAGATCGGAGCGTTCGCGGTGTCAATCAGTCGCGTGTATTCCTGCTCCTGTGCAATACGGTCCGTGATATCTTGTCCAATACCGACCATACCGATCACTGCACCATGCTCGTTGTATCTCGGCGTGGCATTCAGCAAAATCTCAACTCGTCGACCGGCCTTCGTGATCAATGGGAACTCAAAGTTGGCCGTCTCGACACCATTCAAAGCCTCCGACAGCACGTTACTCACTGCCTCCTGGTAGTCCTTGGTGATATACTTCTCCACCAGTTTCTCGCCCATCACGGCATCCGTCGTGTACTGCATAATACTTGCAGCCTTCTTGTTCCAGATATTCACTCGACCTTCAGAATTAACACCGAAGATTGGAGCGTTAGCCGTATCAATCAAGCGGATATACTCCTGTTCCTGCGCAATACGCTCCGTGATGTCTTGGCCGATTCCAGTAACACCAAAAATCTGTCCCAGTTCGTCGTACCGAGGAGTAGCATTGAGCAGAATCTCAACTCTTCTTCCAGTCTTCGTGATGAGAGGGAAATCGAAGTTGCCCGTCGGCTTTCCTTCGAGAGCCTTCCGCAAGTTAAAATTCACTTCATCTCGATGATCCTCAGCCACAAAACGGTTTACCAGATCTTGTCCCATCACTTCCTCGGACGAAAATTGAGTGATCTCCGCTACCTTAAGATTCCAAATATTCACAAGTCCGTCCTGGTCCACACCAAAGATTGGAGCGTTGGCCGAGTGAATCATCCGGTTCTTTTCTTTCTCTTGCGCCATTCGCACGGTGATATCTTGGCCGATTCCCACCATTCCCATCACCTGGCCCTGCTCATTGTATCTCGGAGTGGCGTTCAGCAAGATCTCCACACGACGACCAGCCTTCGTAATTAGCGGGAACTCGAAATTTGCTGTTTCGACGTCTTGGAAGGCCTTCTCCAACACGCTACGCACAGGCACCTTGTACTCCTCCGAAATGAACTCGGCAACTAGATCCTTGCCCAGCACTTCTGCGTTTGTGTACTGGGTGGTCTCCGCCGCCTTCCTGTTCCAAATGTTCACACGTCCATTGATATCTACACCGAAGATTGGGGCATTCGCAGTGTCAATCAGCCTCATATACTCTTGCTCTTGTGCAATTCGATCCGTGATATCTTGTCCGATGCCGACCATACCGATTACAGCACCGTGCTCGTTATAACGCGGCGTGGCATTCAACAAAATCTCAACTCGTCGACCGGCCTTCGTGATCAATGGGAACTCAAAGTTGGCCGTCTCGACGCCATTCAAAGCTTCAGACAGCACATTTCTCACTGCATCTTGGTAATCCTTGGTGATGTACTTCTCCACCAGTTTCTCGCCCATCACGGCATCCGTCGTGTACTGCATAATCTCTGCAGCCTTTTTATTCCAAATATTCACGCGGCCTTCAGAATCGACGCCAAAGATCGGAGCATTAGCCGTATCGATCAAGCGAATGTACTCTTGCTCTTGCGCAATACGCTCTGTGATGTCCTGGCCAATACCCATCACACCGAAAATCTGTCCCAGTTCGTCGTATCGAGGAGTGGCATTCAGCAAGATTTCGACGCGCCGTCCAGTCTTCGTAATAATAGGGAAATCAAAGTTGCCAGTTTGCTCGCCTTGAAGAGCCTTCCGCAACAATAAACCGACTGATTCGCGATGATCTTCCGCAACGAACCGATTCACCAGATCTTTTCCCATGATTTCTTGAGACGAGAACTGGGTTATCTCTGCCACCTTTAGATTCCAGATATTCACACGGCCATCCTGGTCGACTCCGAAAATCGGAGCGTTTGCCGAGTGGATAAGCCGATTGGTCTCCTTTTCTTGAGCCATACGAACTGTAATATCTTGCCCGATACCAACAACACCAATCACAACTCCCTTCTCATTGTAACGTGGGGTGGCGTTGAGCAAGATCTCCACACGACGGCCATCTTTCGTAATCAGCGGGAACTCGAAGTTGGCTGTCTCCTGCCCTTTCAGTGCTTCCGATAGCACAGTCCACACGGCCTCCTGGAAGTCGTCCGGAATGAAATTTTCAACCAAATTAACTCCAAGTACCTCTTCGTTCGAGTACTGCGTAGTGTCCGCAGCTTTCCGGTTCCAGATATTCACGCAGCCATTCTCATCCACTCCGAAAATGGGCGCATTAGCAGTATCAATTAGACGAGTGTACTCCTGCTCTTGAGCACGTCTGTCCGTGATATCCTGGCCGATTCCCACGGCTCCGCAAATGTTGCCGAAGTGGTCGTACTTAGGCGTGGCGTTCAGTAGAATGTCCAATCGCCGTCCACTCTTCGTGATCAACGGAAAGTCAAAGTTTGCAGTCCCTTCGCCCTCCATAGCTTTCGAAAGAACCTTCCCAACAACATCACGATAGTCCTCGGATATGAACTTGAAGATCTTCTGGCCAATTGTGTCTTCGTTGGTATAATCTGTGATAGCTGCTGCCTTCTTATTCCAAATGATCACTTCGCAGTTACAGTCGACTCCAAAGATCGGAGCATTAGCAGTATCAATCAGCCGGCTGTACTCCTTCTCCTGGATAATACGATCCGTGATATCCTGGCCAATACCGACCACACCCACGAGTTGTCCTGTGTGGTCGTAGCGCGGAGTGGCGTTCAGCAGAAGCTCCACTTTTCGACCAGTCTTCGTGACCAACGGGAACTCAAAGTTTGCGGTCTCAATTCCCTGAAATGCTCTCTGGAATACAGCAGCCACTTCTGACCGGAAATCTTCCGAGATGAGCGTATCGACCAGATCCACGCCCATAACCTCGTCGGGTGCGTATTCACTGATCTGTGCTGCCTTAGCGTTAAAAATCACCACGCGGCCTTCCGTATCCACGCCAAAGATCGGTGCGTTGGCCGTCTCGATGAGCTTCTTGTACTCCATCTCCTTAGTATTCCTCTCCGTCACATCTTGTCCGATAGCAACGACCCCCATCACCGATCCCAAAGTATCAAATCTCGGCGTCAAGCACAGCACAATCTCGACTCTTGACCCTCTTGCTGTCACCAAAGGCAACTCGAAATCTGCGCCGGCAATGCCCGAGAGCGCCTGTTCAATCTTTTCCGAGACGATCTTCCGGAAACTCTCGTCTACAACAGGTAGTAGTGGTTCGCCCAACATGTCGACACTAGCGTAGCCCGTCATGGACTCCGTCTTGGAGTTCCACACTGTGATATTCCCTTCCTTGTCCAGCTCAATGATGGGCGCGTTAGCTTGCATCATGACGGTGGCATACTGTTTCTCTTGGATGGCCCACTCCGTCACGTCCTGGCCGACGCCGTAGACACCCACACACGTGCCGTCCTCGGCCAGCAACGGCGTCATATTGGTCAGAATTTCTGCGTTCCTCCCCGTAGTCGTGAGCAGCGGCACACGCAATTCCAACACCGGTCGCTTGTCGGCGACGCAGGCGGCCACGACGGCCGCGATCTCGCTCTTGCGCTGGGCCCCATACACGAAGTCGGAAATGGGGCGGCCCAGCACGCGCTCGGCCTGGAAGCCCGTAATGTCGGCCAAGCGCTTGTTCCAGACTGTTACGCAGCCGCTCACATCCACACCGACGGCGGGCGCGTTCGCATCCAGCAGGAGCTGCGCCAGCGCTTCTACCTGAGATCCGAAGCTCTGCGACGATACTTTCTGCTGCTTCACCTCCACGACGTCTTTCTGCTGTGTCTCGACGGCATTGTTGTCGAGAAGCGGCTCAGGGGAGGGCCCAGCGGCTCGATGTGGCCGGGGCTTCTTGTGCTTCCCCATACTGTCAGTCGCCCTCCTCAAAGCTTATTCCTTTGTGGCGAGTGCGGAAGGCGAAAGATCAAAGAGTGCAGAATCGTGGCGAGGAGGCGGAAACCGGTTTGATCGACGGTATTTACTTGTAGAAGTTGCATAGTCGCGATAAACAATCCCGGCTCTGTGCGGTACTGTACCGACTGTTATCAGAACTGCTCAAAAATCTTGAAGTGAGTCACAACGGTGATGCTGGGAACAATTTCCAGTTCAATTTCGTCTCGATTCCTACACCTGGCGCGCAACTGTCAGTGCCAGTCTATCGTAGACATTGCTGTCGCAGCCGGAGCCGTGGACAATCCGGCAGCACTATCCGCGACGAGAGGTCCACGCGTTCGCGCCGACCAACGCGAGGTGGAGGACGTGTAGTGCTGATCCGAGACGCGATGGTGGCTGCCGGCCACGCCTGGCGTCCTCGCTTGTCGCAATTCGCGTGGGGTAGAACTTCTGCCAGAGATCACCACCCTGCTCATCAAGGTGTACTCCACATCGCCCCTAAAATTCAGGCTAAATATCTCTTATAAACACTTTTATAAGATAATTAAGTTCCGGTACTGTAGCTCGAACTGTACGGTACCAGTACAGTTGTACACACTTTCGTACCACTTTACTAACTGTGCAAATGGCAACTCATAAAAAAAAAAACTTCTCACAATTCATCCAATCAGATCCACCCTCCCTTGACCATTTTCGTATCCATGTCCGCCCCAGGAAATGCGTCCTCCGCAAGCTCCGCCGATGTTCACCAAGCTACCGATCGCTCGCTTCTTGACATGATGGACGAGGCTCAACACCGACTGCAGCACTTGGAGATCTCCTGCCGTCAGATTCTGTCCCCCACAGGCTCGGCCAGCCCTCAAAAAGCGGAACCTTCTTTATCGGACCCAAAAGTGCTACAGCTCCAGGTCGCGCATCTCCGAGCGCAACTGTTGGCCGCAGTGATGCGCCGCGAAGACGAGGATGTGGCTTTTCGACAGGCGGCGAAGTATGCGACAGCTAAAGGCACAGCCAATGGAGTTCTCCACGCGCTGTTTGACCAGGCCAGTGCCGGGAAGACGGCGGTGCTCAAGACGTACCTGGACACGGGATCAATCCCCACACGAGACGGACTCAGACACTGGAAGCTGGATCTGCGCACGATCCGCAATGAGGCAGGGGCTTCGCTGCTCCACGTGGCTGTCGGAGTATCGACAGCGAGACAGAACGTCAAGGTCAAGCTCGTGCACCTGCTCGTGGACAGAGTGGGTTTCGACCCGAACGTCCGGGATGTGGTAGGCGGCAGAGGTTATGCTTAATTTGGTGTACTATGCGCTGATATGATAGTGTTGTGGTGACAGTTTGGGCAGACACCTCTTCATATTGCAGCGATGGGAGGGTATCAAGAGGTGGTTCAAGCGCTCCTTGAACGGGGGGCCAACCCAGTTGCCCAGGACAGGTCCGGGATGACGGCGCTGTCACTTGTTCGGACGCTGTCAAGACCGCCGGAAGCAGTTGTGCAGACACTCGTGGATGCTGAAAGCGTGGCAATACGGAGTGCGAGATATCTATCCATTGCTGAATATGTGGTGCCATTTTGCTAACGAAAGCGTGCTGCTGGCTGCACCAGACACTGCCTCTCGATCACAGTCGATTCCGCTATCTGTAAGTATCCCGAATAAGCTCTAGCTGGTTATCTTGCAACTTACAAGTGTATAATCGTGACATACATGTAAATAACAGAAAGCACTGGCGTCTGCTTTGTTCCTTAAAGGACTGGCTCGGTTGACTGTGGAGAAATACTCCAGTGCGTTTACGCGTCAGACTACAGCATTGGTGAATGCACTCTTAGAAGGTATTATATCTCCAAGTCTTCAAGTACTTGACTATTCTAACCGAATGCGGTGCTGTATGCCAGGAACGTCGGAAGAAAATGTCGACTTCGATCGAGTTCTTCATGACCGGGTCCCAATGCTGTTTGATGCTGTACCTGCTTGTCAAGTGATTAGACTGGAGACGATTTTTGCGAGCAGTATTTACTGGGACCCGTATTTTGTTGATGATCTCAAACTCGAGGCGGACGGGTATGACATATCGCTCATTTCGCCTTCGCTAGTCGCCGGAGCACTTGTTGGACCAGCTTGGGTTGGGGTGCTCTCGAAGCTGATACAAGGACTCAGACTGGAGATGGCTCAAACTGACGCCTACACGAACAATACGACGCCTGTTGAAGAAGATGCGATCATGAAGGACACTACCGACAGCAGTGTAGTAACGTCGCCATCCCGCAAGTGGTCGATATCATCTTCCTCCACGTCGCTCTCTGTGGATTCTCGCTCCGCCTTGTACTACGCTGATCAGACTGCATACGTCGTTAAGACTCGCGACGTATGGTACTACGCAGTGCTGTTTAAACCCTCGACACATGATTTCCCTGGAACTATTACGGTAGCGCCGGAAAGCAACGTCGCCGTCTGTTCAGATGATGTGTCCACGTATTTTCCGCAGGAAGACCGCCTTGCGATCGGCTCTTCAGAATACTTCGCGATAGATTACAACGCGCAGACTCGTGAAATTCGACTGGGTGGGTTCGTAACACTGGGCTCTACATGAACTGAACTCACGCTGACATTTGTGTCAATAGATCGCGATTACGATGGAAAGGAACCTGCCACTTTGAAGGCATATCTTGCAGGGGCGTGCTCTTCTGGGCTACCTCCATACGTTGCGGTTAAACGGATCTGGGAGCGAGAACCAGGCAACAAATACGAAGACCAAATGAGCGGCGAGCAGGCCAGTTTGTCGATACCTGGTGATGTCCGTCGTTCAGTTGCATAATCTTGTTCTGCTGTTTGTATTGACCACAGGAGTTGTTCCAAGACTACCAGTTCCTGGATCCTGAAAGCGAGTATGAAGTGGCAATTAAGCTAGGACCAATACCAAGTGGACAAGAGGCGCGGGATATTGTTGCTGAGTGGAAACAAACTGCTAGGAAGCTGTTTGATGCACGAGAGTAAGCTTCATCTGTCCTTGCGTATAGCAAAAGGAGTTGTTGCTGACAATCGTGATCGTTGCTCGGTGTACTGTAGATGCACATCTGGATTGTCGTGCTGTCAGCATTATTGCCCCCAACGCAGCGGTCATTCGTTGGTATGTGTGTGACTGTATTTCAAGTGCCATCACTCATTGTGTTAATGGTTACAGTGTTTGGGGACTCTTGCTGTAATCGGACAAGGTCTAGCCAAACGTCGTCTCGGACGGCCAACCTTTTCCAAACCTCTGAAGCCTCGTGCCTCCCTCCAACGACTTCAGAGAGGTTTCAAGGGAACGGAAGCGTGGCCTGGTTCTCCATCAAGGGTTATACCGATTTCGATGCCCAGTCCACCGTAAATCCGAAGCAGCAACAACCTGCTGCTTGAGTGTATCACGTTCAGTTCAACACTGGGCTAAAAATGACAAATGCTGTCGTCTAGAGGAAAGGGACTACATACTTAGTATCCTTGCGGTTGAAACGTGACAAAGCATATTCAACTTGAATCGTTGCAAAAGGGATCATAACCCCACCGAAAGTCGGCGTTCCCGCTGCACCACACCGCTGAATTTCGACACGATTGTAGACTAAACTGACACCACGAAGCAGTTTCGTTTTGCCATAAAGGCAGCTTCATGACACGCCCAATTATCAAAAATATAGCAAAATGATCCTCACAGCTTCGCCTCTTCTTATGATGCAGTCGGTCGAATACCACGAATTCGCAAGGACAGCTGAATATCTTTCACCTGCAGCGTCACGCGCTTGCCGTGAATAGCGCACAAGTTTCTGCAGATTAACAATACAGCAAATAGCGACATCAGCCTTCACGACCTCCGACAAACAATCTGATTCTAATAGCAACGTACGCATCTTCGAAGGTGCGGACAAGGTACGTCTCTGCTGCTTCCTGTAGCGCCAGCAGTGCCTCAGCCTGCCAGCGGTAACCCACACCTGTGAACTCCGTCTGTATCTCTCGTACTACACGAGCGAACGGCAGTTTTCGTAGTAATAGCTTTGTGGAGCGCTGAAGCAATCGGATCTCTCGTAGCGCCACCTCACCGGGTTTCCTCCTTCTTTTGACGGTCTGCGTTGCTGTTGTTGGGCTGCTCGGACGTCTACGCGGAGGTGTTGCCTTACGCTTGCGCCTCGGGGCCGTGGGGGTAGCATGGATCGCGGCCTGACGCCCCACAGGGACCACGGACGGTCGACGCGCCGGTAGGTTCGGAGGAGGAGACGGCGTCGACACGGATGATGCCGATGATGCTGCAGCGGCCGGTCGAGCCGGCGCGTCGCCACGTTTAGTGGTAGGAGAGTTCGGCGGCGTGGACACATCGGTACCGCTGTCCGTGACGCTGCTGCTGGACGCGTCGCTCGCCGGAGTCGACATATTGCTGGTGTCCGAGAACAGATATTCAAAAAATTGAATTTGAAATGCGTTTGTAAAAATCAAAATGTGAAAATGACGCAGTACAATAACGAATCATGTCTCTGGAAAAATTGCAATCGTAGAATATTCATGTGACGTGATGCAAAGCTACCGCTACCGATTTAACCTATTAAATCGCATCTGTATGACTGATGCTAGGTCCGCGAGTATTCCCGCCAAAACTTTGCCTGTCAGCCAAGTAAGTACTCAGAGTACTTCAAAGTAATTACAGTAGCAGCAATGTCGAGTCGCGAGGCGAGCAAGAAAGCAGCCAAAGAGCTGCTGGCGCTATGCGTCAAGGAGGGCGTCAAGGTCCCGACGGTGCGTGGCTCGAAACGCTCACATTGCTGGAAGCTCTCCTTTAATTACATTTACCAATTGCCCAGAATCCCGTGAATGCCGCCGTCGAAGCAGGCACGATGCTCAATGCCACGCGCGAAGACGTACGAGTAACTATCAATGCGAAACCGAACAACCCATTCATTTGACATGTCGTACTGATATTTAGGGCGAGTTCCAACTGGATGCAGCTCTCAAGGTGCGTCATCCCATGTTGTTAACACAGCGACAAAACAATACTCATCAGGAAATGTTACATTAAACAGGAGATGATAAAAAAATTCGGCGTGAAAGAGCCCACCTCCCCCAAGAAGAAGAAGGGCAAGACAGACGTTAAGACCGAAAAAAAGACTGGTCGTAAGCGCAAAAACGCCGAAGTCAAGGACGAGGACGAGGAGAGCGCCGACGACAACGAAAAGAAGACCAAGAAACCCCGCAAGAAAGCCGAGGCTACGTGTGAAGACAACCAGGAACTAGCTGACGCCTTTGCTGAGCTTTCAGGCTTCGAGTTCAAGCGTGGCGAGAAGTTCAAAGGTGGCACATGGTCCAAAGTGGCCAAGGCCATTCGTGAGTGCGAGTCGAAGCTCACATGTGGCAAGGACGCGCTTAAACTCAAGGGTGTCGGCAAGTCATCAGCTGCAAAGATAGACGAGTTCCTCGAGACGGGTACACTGGAGAAGCTCGAGGAGTATCGCGCCGGTAACATGTAACCTCGTCAATCAACATCTTGATGATCGTACCGTAGTTGAAGCCAAAATTGTACCCTAACGTACCCGAACTAACGGTTACACTAGGGGCTACTCCGAAGACGAAACATCAACATCAGTATATTTGGCTCCTGTCCCTAGTCTCCAGCTCCGAGGTCAACGGCCACCTCCCTGCGTCCCTTCCCGTCCGCTATCTCCGTCCAGGATTAAATTGCGGTGCGTGAGGCAAGACGCCTCTTCCTTCTTTTTCTCAAAGTCTCAATTTACAGCGCTGCACCTTCCGCCGGCTCAAGTATTCGGATTTTTGAACGTGAAGGAGCCGCAAGCAACAGACCGCGCCAAGCACGACGCGCACACACTCTTGTTTCTGCCAACTGAACCGCAGGACACAAGCTTCTTCAATTCTGATTCAGAAAAGACATATGCAACGGGGTGAAGTCGCGGTGGCAAGTCCCTACTCGACGCCCAGCAGCCAGTTCAACGACAAGGAGTTCGCAGATATGCCCGAGCATCGATGGCCTCCTCCGCCTCCTCCTCGTGCAAGCATCCAACCGCCGAGTCCACCACTCGACGATCAAGACAGGCATCACCAGTATCGTCCCTCTGGAGCTCATCGACACAGCAACAACAAGTATAGAAGGCAACCGCAGCCTTGCCTCAAGTTTGTGTCCAGCAACGGTTGCCCCTTTGGGGACAAGTGTCGCTATTCACACGATCTGCGAGCGTTTTACCCCGCCTACTACGAGTAAGAACGTGTACGATCTTTTTTCATGGAAATTTGCCTAAAACTGATGAGATGATTTTGCAGAGCAACACGTTACGACGACCCTATTTGGTCTGGAGTCTACGCCATGCCTCGACAGGTGCATCAGAACTATCCGCAACGACAATATCCTCGTCCTGTGAACCCTCCTCCGTAAGTGGTACTTTAGCTCGTGTCTCTCTGGCCACTCACCTCTGCGCAGGTAGGTGGCTCGCTCGCTACCTGCTAAATTGTGTCGAGCATCACAAATTGGACACCTGCTGACAGTTTGTCGTTACTGCACCTTTCATAGGATACCTAAAAGTGACCCAGCTCGACCCTCGTCGTCGTTCTGCTTTCCGCCGCAACGTGAACGAGCTTCCTCGCTTGGAAACCATGGCAAGGTTCACGATAATCAGTCCGATGAAGCTCCTGTCTTGTCCAACGGGAAGCTGATGTTTAAGGATGCTGTTTTAAAGCAAAGCAAGGTGAAGCCGTCTGAAAATAAGCTCGGTGAACCTGACCCAATTAAAATCACTGAGCATCATGGATGTAACGACGAGAACAGATATTCCAACCAAGAGACCACGGCACCGGAAAATGAGGAAGTTGACTCCAAGCTTCAGGCGCCAGTGCCGCAACCGCCGCGGCGTAAGAAGAATACGCGGCCACGTAAGAGTGCCTCAAGCGACAGAATGTCGAGCCTCGCCAACGGCGATTCAGCAGAGTTTTACCTCAACCCAAACTATTTATTCAGTCCAGTCGAAAACGGCGATCTAACTCGTGTAGAAAGTGCTCAGCAGCAGCACCTTCGGCTCCGAGAGCAATACTATCCGCGTCCTTTGAGTGGGGCGCAGCGGATGCATTCAGTGAGTCCGTCGTACAGCCGATACCTGGCAGAGGAACAATTTTACAGGTATTGCCGCTTGCGAAGCCTTTCTTGTGGTCTTTGACTAACAGTGATCGCTGTGCTTATTACGCTGGATACAGTAACCTCAGCAGGCAAGTGGAAGCGTTCGTCGACTACATCGACACTACGCTTGCCTCGATGGAATCGCATCAACAACAAGCCATTGATTCCTTGCAGGAGCTGGTGCGCTCGTTGTGGCCTGATGCGCTGATTGACATTTACGGGTCAAGCTACACACGGCTCGCATTGCCCGTAAGTGACATTGACTGTGTGCTGGCTTCACGAGCATTGGCCGGGGAGCGGGCTTTGGCCTGAGGTTGAGCGGCAGCCGTGGACGAAGGAACTCGAGCTACTTGGAAGCGCGAAAATCCCCGTTCTCAAGATGACGTACTCTCTCGACCCGACAGAACCAGACGTGCTACTCGACCTGACATGCGGCCATTCTGTTGGCCACACTGGACTGGGCGCCCGAGACCTTATTTATTCGCTGCAAACTGAGATGCCAGCACTGCGCCCTCTGGTGTTAATTTTGAAAAGCCATCTCGTCAACAAGAGTAGGCGCGGCATTTCACTAGCCTCTTGGTGCCTATTGTACTAACTCGTGTCTTGTACCTTTGTTTTGCTGACTGCAGATTTGAATTGCGCTTTTACTGGTGGCATCTCGTCATACGTCCTGGTCATTTTGGTGATTCGCTTTTTGCAGGTAACTTGTGGGTTTACTTTCCGCTGAAATTAATTGCGTAAATGAACTGACTCACGTGCTGTCGATAGGCGTGCGGTGATACTCACGTGAGATCATTTGCGAGCAATACTGGCGGTAAAGTCCGCGGAGGAAATCGTCGAAGAAGCTACTCGGAGAACGCGTCAGCGTCAGATTTTCCTGAGGAGCTGGCGTATGTCGCGAGTCTCAGCGATGCAGTTGTGCAACCGAAGTGGTGCTACACTTTTTCGCGTGGTGGACGCGTGACATGGTACACTGGCATCGGCAGTCTCGTGATGCTCTTTTTGGAAACGTACATCACGTTCGACTACCGGCGGTTCGGCATTTCCATTGAAAACGAAGGGTTCGTAACGCATTTTTACACGTGTGGTTACGGCGAAAGGATAACGTGTTGTGCTCTACTGGCTGCATGCAGAGATTTTTTCCTGCTACCGCCGGACAAAATAGTCCCGATGCAGTGTTCAGTAGTCATCCCGTACGTCGCGGACCCGATTAAACCTGGGCGAAGCATTTGCAACTGCTTTCGCATGCACGAGGTGAGTCAAGAAACACATGCACACTTCTCGTTTATGGAGTCAAGAGCTTTACATGTTGACGTTTTGCTAGGTGATCCAATCGTGGCTTGCGTTGTACCAAAACCTGGCAGCTGGAGTCCCAGTGGTGACGTGTATTGGAGGATCCGTGAGCCGTTGAGTCCATTTTCAAAACATGATATGTCAACAAGCCCGCTCCTGCCGATGGAAGTGAAGGACGCACCGGTCCAGGAGTGCTTTTTTGTCCTAGTTCCGGTGTCTACATCTTCGTGCAGCAAGGCCGTCTCCTCCAAGACCACCGCTACCACACTTCAGTTTTGCTGTGCTTCTTTCCTGAAAGAAATCTCCAAAGCGTATTGGCATCGAGGTGGTGTCGACAGTGTAGTAGTGAAGCAGTGGACTCTAAATCCACGCTTTTTGAAGACGCGTCTGCATGGCGAGAATGCTCAACAGTAACTCATAAATACAAGACGACAGGCGCAAAAAGTGGCATAGTGCATCACATGGCCACACGCAATTTGGAGCTAACGGTGCCTAAAAGTCTAGGGTGCGCACGCTCATGAACTCGGACACGAGGTCGTCCGTGATGGCGGCACGGCGCTGCTGGAAGTCCAGCGTGTACTCGGCCATGACGTCGATCAGTTTCTGCTTCACCTCGCCCGACATCATGCGGCCGGCGCCGTACTCCTGGCCAATGCGTTCAAGCTCCTCGTCATCCTCTAGCATGAACGACAGGTACTGGTACGGAATATCGGCCTCCAAATTGGCGCCGTATTTCTCGTGGTCAGCCTTGGTCTCACCTCCACCGCTGTGAATAACAAAATGGACACCGAATCAGGCCATTGGCCATCAACAGAAAAGAGGGAACAGTGATAGAGGGCTTACCTGAAGGCGTACTTCTTGATCTTGTTGGCAATGTCTTCAGGCGAGTCCGAGATGTAGATAGTGGTGCTGGCCTTACTAGCGCTCATCTTGGTGGTACTGCCCTGTAGTGCCGGGAAGAACTTGGAGTGCATTGAAGCAGGCTTGAGGTAGCCAATACGAGGTGCCACATCGCGCGTCATACGGAAGTATGGGTCCTGGTCAATAGCGTGCGGGATGAGACAACGCAGGCCCTTGCGTCCACCAAGCACCACCGGGAACGTCTCTGAAAAAGAAGGCACGGCCTGGACGGCCGGGAAGGCCGATTTGCCGATATTGTCTGATCCAGTGAAGCCGAAGATGCCGCGCACCTGGTTGTACGTGACGCACTTCTGCACCTTAAGGATCTGTGGGTACATCTCCTTGATGTAGTCCGTGTTGGCGAAGATGAAGGTCTTCTTGACGTCGAAACCACAGGCAATGATGTCTTTGGCGTTCTCCCAAGCCATGACTTCGCTCTCCTCCAGCGTCTGGTCCTTGAACAGGAACTTCTCATCATTTGTGAGCTGAATAACAAGAGGAACGTCGAACACTTTCTGCAACCAGGCCGTGAAGGTGAACGGGATTAAGTGACCCATGTGCAGACTGCCCGACGACGGACCACGGCCCGTGTACAGGAAGAACTTTTCGCCCTTCTCGTAGGCGTCGAGGATAACATCCAGGTCACGATGCGAGAAGAAGTAGCCGCGACGCAAGTAGCGGTGGGCCTTGTGGCCTGTGAGTCTCTCCATCCTCTCTACCATCTCAGGCGGAATCTTAGTGCTGCCGAATTGCTCCACGAGCTTGTCATAGTCCACACCGTCCTCTGCCTCGACATCCCAGGGGGTTACGACCTGGGCACCACTGGCCGCGCCCGAGCTCAATACTTGGTGCTGGAATTCAGTCTGACGCAGCAGTAGCTCGGCGTCAGACGGGACGGCCGCGCTCTCAGCCGGCTTGGCGCTCTCGCTGGGCTTGGCCTGCTTCTGCTTCTGTTTCTGCTTACCGGCCTTGGCGGTGCCACCGGCGGCCTTCTTGGCAGCCTGCTCGGCCAACTTCTTCTCCTTCTTTAGCTGACTTTTGGACTTTTTGGGAGCCTCGCCGTCGGCAGGAGCAGCGGCCGGAGCTGCCGCCTTCTGCTTCTTGGGCTGCTGTGGAGGAGCGTAGTCAGCACCTGTCAGCGTCTTGAACTCGGCCTTGAGTGCCAGCAGCTCCTGCAATTTAGCAGAAATTGCCTCGGCGTTGCCCGCATCCTTGGCCGCCTTGAGTTCGCGGATGGCATTGCCCGTGGCCACAATCTTGTCCGTCAGCGCCTGCGCATCCATTGTGCCTCACGTGCAGTGCTTTTTGAGTATGGGAGCCATACAAATGAAAATCATTCCATGGCGAGTAGGGATTGGTGGAAAAACCCTTTAGTGAAATGAAGCTTACACACGTCACAGATGACATTCATCACATGCATGATGCAAATGGACATGTAGGCAAAGAACCAGTTATTACAACGCAAAGACAACCAAACTGTCGGTTGTGCCGCTACGATCAAGAGTTACCACTTAGCGCAGTGGTCCAAGATGTACGGGGTGAAGTACGTGATTAGCACGCTGGCGCCGGCACGGAGCAGACCAAGGTGGGCCTCGCGCACCACAGCTTCGAGTGAGTTGGTGGAGTCACCGTAGTCCTTGACCATCTTGTACTCGCCTGAGACGAGGTAGCACACTACAGGCACGGTCTTCTTAGCGGCAAAGCTGGCCACGATATCAGAGTAGAAGAGCGATGGCTTGACGATGACGCTGTCAGCACCCTGCTGCACGTCGCGCTCGAAGGCTAACGCGGCATGGCTCGTGCTGCCCACGGGGTGCTGATAGCGCTTGCGATCACCCTGGAACGTGGACTCGACAGCGTCGCGGAAGGGCGCGTACATGACAGAGGCCTTCTTGGACGTGTAGGCCATGATGGACACGTGCTCAAAGCCGTGCTCATTGTAGATCTTGCGGATAGCGCCGATGCGATTGTCCATCATGTCGGACGGGCATACCATGTGCGCGCCTGCCTTAGCGTAGGCAAGTGCTATGCTGGCGAGCCGCTCGAGTGTACGCTCGTTGTCCAGCACTTGCTCGCCATTTACTTCACGCAGGATACCGCAGTGGCCATTATCCGTGTACTCACACATGCAGACATCGCAGGCCACCATGAGATCGGGCAGTGCCTTGCGCAGCGCCTTGGTACACTTGATGACGGGCGTGGCCTCGTCGTCCGCCATGCAGCCCCGTGCATCCTTGTCCTCCACGACGCCAAAGAGCATCACGTTAGTCAGACCCTTGGTCATGAGGTCACGCAAATGGGCCACAAGCGAGGCGTAGTCACCGTCAGGGCCCTGACCCCACTGCAGCTCCGGCTCAAGCCCACGGATCGCCTTGTCCTCGCTGCGCAGCGTCACAAACAGCGGGTACATGAGCTGCGACGGGTGCAGGTGTGGCTCGCTCCAGGAGCGCTGTGCAGGGTGATGCAGGCTGGAGTGCAGGAAGTTCATGGCCGGCTGAGCTGTATAATTGCGGGTTGCGCGCTCTGAGGCCGTTAGGAATGACCGCATCTGTAACAAAGCTGCGCGCCGGATGTATACGTATACATTTTAAGGTGCTCATTCCTATATTTTGGAAGCCTTTCACAAAAGACCATTTTTTAGGCAGAGTTGAAGCTGATCAGATGGCCGAGGTGTTCGAGCGTGCAGCGGTGGAGCTCAAGACGGCTAATGTAGCTGTTAGCGATGCGGACAAACTGCAGCTGTATGGACTATTCAAGCAGGCGATGATGGGCGACTGTCGTACAGCGGCGCCCAGCGCCTTTCGCCCGGTAGAGCGGGCGAAATGGTCTGGACAATTATTGGTCTATTCTAATGGACGGCATTTTAACCCACACGTATCATGCTTCTAGGGAAAGCTGGCACAAGTTGAATGGTACATCACAGCAAGACGCCAAACGCCAATACGTGCAGCTGGTAAAGTCGCTGCTACCAAGCTTTCAAGCGACAGTTGAAGCTCAGACACCTTCATGGAAGGCTACACGACCTACAGCACGGCCCAGACGAGATGGCCCTGCACGCAGTTCACTGCCGATGTTCTTCTATCTGATAGCTGGATTAGCGCTCCTAGTCGCTTTTAAGGCGGTGCTACCTTATACACACGTTGCGGTGAACGAGGAGCTGATGCAGAAGCTCTCGCCGCTTCTGTGGTTCGCTCTGGGCTACGCTATCGTCATCGTGTTGAGGTCCAAGGTAGGCTCAAGCTTTAAGACGTTTCAGATGCTTTAATGCTGATGTTTCTGGTGGGACAGAGTTTGCCGTGGCCGGAAAGGCTGCAGTTCCCTCCGCGTGCGTCTACTACGCGCTCCCAACGTAGACGACGTCGTCGTCGCACGCCAGTGGAGTCAGAGCTAAATGCATTTCTTCGCAAACATGGGGTTCACATTGTACGTCAGCCAGAGGAAGGGTATACTGCGCCACGTTTGATGCTGAAGCTTCCAGAGGATCAGGCGGCATTCCAGTTTGGAGACCATAACGCTACGATCCCGTACAGTGTCGAACAGGTTTAACACCAGCGACCAGTACAGCGCAAGACTGGTACGAAGACTCACGCTTTGATGATGGATTACAGACTGCAGACGTGTATTACCGTAAATTCAAGGAGCCCTTGCCAGACCTGGCGAGCCGCCTATTGGACTCTATCGAAGTGCTTGAGGAACGACATCTGGAGGAATACTGCGCCGTCTACAAGCGCCGACTTCTGCGATTCCGGTACTGTGTTGATGCTTGTATTACTATAAGCTCCTTGTGGGTGTCTACTGAATACCGGTACTTCGTATTTAACCTGCAGGAATGAGGCTCCTTCTTTGATCAAGCGTTTTGCGAGCTCTGACTACGTCGAATACGTCGAAGACTCGTTGCTCGACCAGCAGAACCGCGTACGTTCGTCATTTTCTGGTCTTGAGATTCACACTAAGTGCTCGAGAGATAACAACGGTCAATACTTTCAGCTTTTCTATGTGTACGTCAAGAACGAGTCTTTCCAGTCGCTGGGTGTGCTGGAAGACTTCTCCGTGTACGAAGCTGACGCAGACAAGTCGCACTTGTGAGTAGAATCTGCATATTTAACCTGTCTGCATTACTCGCAGTAGCAACTTACGTGAAACGATGACTCTCTTCGTTTCTATAGGACACATCTCCACCAGTTCTGCCGTGTGCATATCACCAGCTCTTCCTTATCGTTTTTCCGATCGCAGATTGAGTCGTTTATCTCGAACTTCTATTGCAAGAACGCCCCCGACGCCAGAAGTTATCACCTCCAACGTATTACAGAGGAATTCGGTGAACCAGCTGAGTGAAAGGTAGCATATATGAGTGGCTTCACCTCAACATAATAGCTATGCTCCTATTTGTTCCTTTGACGGTTTCCTAACGTTCGTGAGGGGACACCAATTACGTTGCTGCCAATGTGTTCACTCTGTAGGGAGCCGAACAAGCAACGCAGATCATTTCTAGGGCACCCTGGATGTCGAAGGTATTAGAGCAGCTAATTGCGCGCGGACGTCGCGAGCGCAAACCGACAGAGCAGCGGGATGTGGCCTTCAGTCTGGCTGAAATCTCGACAAATGCCGAGCTCCACGAAAAGATGGTGTCCAAGGGCGTAGTGAAGGCCTTGCTAACGCTGATTCTTCAGTCGAGTGACCCCGAAGCACTGCGTCTTGCCTGCCTGTGCATGGCAAACGTGGCATCGTGTCCAGCCAGTCGCGTTCGGATCGTAGAGGACGGGGTGCTGCCACCCCTTGTCAAGTTCTTCAAGGACGACGACAACGAGAATGACGCCGTCGCGAAGCAGTACGTAGCGATGACTATCGGTAACTTGGCGGCTGAACCCGAGAATCACGAAGAAATCGTGCAGTTAGGCACGATTGAGCCGTTGGTGAAGCTGCTGGATCCGGAGATCGTGCATTCCGGCGTCTACTGCGCCTTCGCACTGGCGAATTTGTCGGTAAACAACGAGTATCGTCCCCAGATCGTCGAGGAAGGTGCTATCCCACGGCTCATTGCGTTGGCATGTTGCAAGGAATTGACTGCACAGCGGCAATCTCTCGCGTGTCTGCGTGGAATCTGCATCTCTCCAGGGAATCGAGTTGTTGTGGTGAAGGAAGGGATGCTGGATCCACTGGTGCTCATGGCACGCTCTGACGAACCCGACATCCAGCGTGAAGTAGCGGCAGCCTTCTGCGCGCTCTCAGCTACTCCAGAAAACAAAGTGGAGATCTCGGATCGAGCGCTACTGACGATTATCTCGCTGTCACTCTCGGGTGACCCGGCTGTTGAGGAGTATGCATGCAGCACGATCGCCAACTTGACTGAACTGCATGAGCTTCACGATAAACTACTACGTGAGAACGGCCTGGCTTCGATCATGGCATTGGCAGTGACCAGGGATCTCAACACACGCTCGGAAGCTTGTCGATGTCTCGCTAATCTCACAGCAAACGAAGAAGTACAGCCAGCGTTGATGAAGGAAGGAGTGTTACAGCCTCTTGCTACTGCGCTGGTTTTAAACCACCACGTCTGTCAACGTTACGCTGCGTTGGCCTTGGCGAATCTGAGCACGACAGCGAGCTACCAGGTCCAGATCGTAGGATTGGGGACGATCACACCGCTTATTGCACTCGCCCAAGCGTTCGACCGCGAGCTGGAAGCTCGACGATACGCCGTGCTCGCGATAGCGAACCTGGCTGCGATGAAAGCCAACCACCCGGCGCTGGTTGAGGCTGGATGTCTGCTGTCCCTGTTCTCTCTGGCAAGTACGGCCGACGCACTGAGTCAGTACTACGTGGCGTTTGCGTTGGCGAACTTCGCGTCAAACGAGCAGAATCATACGCGTATGGTGGAGGAAGGAGGACTTCAGCCCATTATCACACTGGCGTCATCGGAAGATACTGATGTGCATCATCGAGCTGTTGCAGCTCTACGCGGACTGGGAGTAAGTGAAGCCAACAAGGTCAAAATTCTTCAAGAAGGCGGACTGGAACCTCTCGTGCTACTGTTACAGTCGGACGACTTGGAAATCTTGCGGGAGACGTGTGCTGCGCTCTGCAATCTGTCAGTAAGCGAAGAAACCAAGTACGAAATTGCTAAGAGCGGTGCCGTGGCCCCGTTGATCGCGCATTCTCAGTCCGAAGACATGGAGCTTGCTCGCCAGAGCTGTGCTACGTTGGCCAACCTTGCGGAGGTGGAAGAAAACCAGGAGAAGATCTGCGCTGATGGAGGAGTGCCCCCTCTCATTGCCATGATGCGCTCTCAGTTTGTGGAGGTACAACGTGAAGCGGGTCGCGCTTTGGGAAACCTCTCGGCCTTCCGTCTGAATCACGAAGATATGATCGAGCATGGCGGCCATCAGCTACTGATCTCGTATCTATTGTCTCCCGATATGGCTTCGCAGCGTGTTGGGGCATTAGGAATCTGCAACCTGGCAACAAACCCAGCGATCCGTGAGCTGCTAATGGAAAGTGGGGCCATGGAGCCTCTGATGTCTCTTGCTCGGTCTGAAGACGTGGAGCTGGAGATCCAGCGGTTCGCCATCCTGGCCATCGCCAACTTGGCGACTTGTGTCGAGAACCACCGCGCCATCGTTGAAGAAGGCTCGCTTCCACTGCTGATCTCCCTGTCCAGTGCTCCTGACGAAGAAGTCCGTCAGTATGCAGCCTTCGCGCTCGTCAAGGTCGCACTGAACGCTGATCTACGCAAGCAGATTACCGAGGAAGGAGGTCTGGAGCCTGTGCTTTTCCTCGCACGTACGCAGAGCTCTGACCTGCAAGCAGACGTCCTACCTGCAATCTGCACGCTGTCGTTCGCTGATGCCAACAAGTCCGACATCTGCAAGTGTGGCGGCTTGCCACCGATCCTCGGAGCGCTCAAGCATGCTGATGTGGGTGTTCAACGACAAGCGCTATGTGCTGTGGCCAATCTAGCTGAAGACGTGGAAAATCAGAGTCACCTCGTGGCGAACGGTGCCATCCCTCCTGTCGTGGAGGCGCTGCAGCACGGAGGAATCATCGCGCAGCGTGAAGCAGCTCGAGCTCTGGGGAACTTGTCGGCTAACTGTGACTTCGCTGAAGTCATCTTGCGTCAAGGTGCAGCTCCTCCGTTGATACAGCTACTGGGCAGCGAAGTGGTGGACTGTCAGCGCATGGCAGCGATGGCTCTGTGCAATCTCGGAACAAACGTCAACAACCAGCCAAAGTTGTTGGCGCAAGGTGTGCTTCCGCCCATCCTAGCGCGTATTGAAGAAGCTTTGGACCCACGTTCATTGGCAGATAACGATGTGATCCGCTATTGTCTCCTAGTGCTCGCTAACCTGGCTGTCTCGCCGTCTACCCACGAGGAATTACTGGACAAGGCGTTGACGTTTCTCGCTGGCTACGCCAAACATCGTGACGTCAAGTGCCGCCAGTTCGCCATCTTCGCGGTTGGCAATCTGTGCAGCAACCCCAAGAATATCGAGCGGATCGTAGCAACCAATTGTCTGCAACCTATCATCTCGTTCGCATTCCCAGGAGGTGCCAACGTGCAGTTCCAAGCTATTGCTGGGCTTCGAGGACTGTCAGTGAACCAAGCTGTTCGTCAACAAGTCGTGCGTCTGGGCGCACTGGAGCCACTTATCCTAGCAGCCTCGAGTGAGAGCATCGAAGTGCAGCGAGAGGTAGCTGCGACGCTCTCGAACTTATCACTAAGTGAAGAGAACAAGATCACGATGGCTCGTGGTGGATGTCTACCTGCTCTCATCGCTCTGGCAAGTAGCCGAGACTCGTATCGCGAGCGACAAGCGGTGTGCGCTCTAGCGAACTTGGCAGAGATGATTGAAGGGCACACGCACAAGAAGATGCTGGAGGAAGGCGTGCTAACACCTCTGTACGCCCTAGCAACTGGTGCTGATCTGGAAGTCAAACGCCAGGTTTCTCGCTGTCTTGCCTTGTTTGCAGCGAAGCCGTCAAGTCAAGCCACTCTGTTGCGAAGCAGTGCACTCCGCTATATCTCAGCGTTCGCCCAGGAGACGGAAGATGCGGTCTGTAGACGATTCGGAACGCTGGCGATTGGGAATCTCGCAGTGGATCACAAGAATCACCGTGACTTATTCGACCAAGGTGCTGTGACGGCGCTTATGACGGTGGACAAGGCTACAGACCTCGAGACTCGTCGTGCGCTTGCCTTTGCACTGAATAACCTAGCAGCCAATGAGAGCAACAGTGCGCAGATCTCCAAGTTAGGCGGGCTACGCACTGTCATCGCTCTGCTGCATGATGCTGACGAGGACACACATCTACAGGCTTGTTTTGCTCTACGAAGAATGGTTGTTGAAGCCAAGAGCCGCACCCAGGCTGTATCGTTTGGCGCTCTTCTCCCCCTATTCAAGCTCGCACTGTCGGAGAATATCGAGGTGCAGCGCGAGGTTTGTGCTGCGCTACGAAATCTGTCATTGAGCGAAGACAACAAAGTCGTCATCGTACTCAATGGCGGTCTAGCACCTCTACTGACACTGGTACACTCAGCAGATGGAGAAGTTGCTCATCAGGCATGTGGAGTACTCGCCAACTTGGCTGAAGTCGTGGAGAATCAAGGACGGATGGTGAAGGATGGAGTGCTACAGCACATTAAGTTTGTGCTACGTGCGAAGAGCGTGGACGTGCAACGTGAAGCACTTCGCGCGATCGCCAATATGTCAGCGGAATACGCGTACACAGCAGAGATTGTCTCGAGTGGAGGTCTGGCTCCGCTGATGGCTGCGTTGAATGCGCCAGACTTCCTTAGTCAGCGGTATGCAGCTATGGGTATTGCCAATCTCTCCACGAACGTTGACAACATCACCAAGATCGTGCAAGATGCTCTTGTCCCAACGTTAGTGGCGCTTGCCGATGGCTCGCTCAATGGTGATCTGGACACGCAGAGATACGCTGTCTTCACGCTCACCAACATCGCCAGTGTCCGTGCTACGCAGTCTGTTCTCGTTGATGCTGGAGTCCTTCCTCTCTTCGCAGATTTACTACAGCACGCAGACATGGCATTGAGGAATGGTGCAGCGTTCGGAATCGCCAACTTCACCGCGTTCTCGGAGAATCATACCGTGCTTCTTGAGCTCGGAGAAGTCTTTTTGGAGGCTTTACTGCGTCTGCTAGAGTCTCAAGACTCCAAGTGTCAGTATCGTGCTGTGTGCGCATTACGAGGACTGTGTGTGAACGAGCTAGCGCGACGTGAACTGGTACGTCGTGGCGTCCTGCGTCCTCTACTGGCACTTACCAAATCCGAGGATATGGACGTGCAACAAGAAGTGCTGGCGTGTCTGTGTAACTTGTCTCTTAGTGGCTGTGTCGGTGCGTATCCCGAAGTATTTATCGCTGCGTGCGAGATGCAGGCCCTGGTGGCGTTCCTGTGCTCCGCTGATGCCACCTATCGACTCTTTGGCGCGGTGACACTGGGAAATATCGCTGCGAAAGCCGAGTATCAAGATGAGCTGGTTGCAGCGGGCGCTGTATCACCCCTCGTCGAGGTAGCCAACAGCGTGGACCTGGAAACCCATCGCTGCATTGCCTTTGCGCTGTGTAACCTCGCTGCCAATCCGGATCGCAGACAAATGGTCGAAGCTATGGGCGGTCTGCCTCCTATCATCCAGCTAGCTTGTTCGGTCGACGTGAATGACCAGAAGACGGCTATTGCGGCACTTCGTGGACTCTCAAATCGACCGGAGACACGTCTGCACATTGTTTCGGAAGGTGGACTGGAGCCTTTAGTGCTTGGAGCGCGCTCATCTGACGTACAGCTACACCGTGAGGTCACGATGACAACGTACAACTTGTCGCTTGCCGAGAAGAACAAGCTGGCTATAGCTTCATCACCATTGACGGGTTCTCTGATCACTCTGATGTTGTCCAACGACGAGGATACAGCGGCATTTGCGAGCGCTAGTGTCGCTAACATTGCTGAGAATTGCGATACCCATTCAGCTATTGCAGAGCAGCGTGGCTTACGGTTCTTCCTGGAATTCGAGACCCGAGGAGCTCCTGCTCGGGTCGCGCGTGAAGCAGTCAAGTGTGTTGCAAATCTTTCGTCGAACTATGCGCTCCACGACTTGTTGCTCGCCGACGGCTGCCACGAATTCCTTGTACGTGCTATCGAGCACACAGACTCCAAGACTCGGCTCTTTGGAGTTGTGGGTCTCGGGAACCTCGTGTCCAACCCGCAAAACCATGCAAGAGTGCTGCGCGAGAAGGTTGTGACGCCTTTAATTGGGTTATCCGTCGACGTAGACCACCCTGAGCCTCGTCGGTTTGCTTTGCTCGCGTTAGGCTGCATCTTCACCAATGAGGCGAGCCACGAAGCATTCGTGGGTAACGGAGTTTTACCAGCACTTATCGCAGCGCTTGACGCAGTAAATGACATGGAAACGCGCTTCTACGCAGCCTTCGCACTCGGCAAGATCTCCACGAACGAGTCACTCCACGAGCTCATCGGACAGCTCAGTAACAGCGGTGGACCTCTCATTAAACTGGCGCTGGATGCCGAGGAAGCCAAACATCCAAGTGCTCAATGTCACGCGGTGTCAGTGCTGCGTCGTATCACAAATCTGGATGTGAATCGAGTGTCTATGGTTGCACAGCATCGCGAGGATCTAGCCGCTGCACTACTGACTTGTGCTCGACACACGGAGCTGTTAGAGAACCAACGTGAAGCTGCAGCGTGTCTGTGCAATCTGGGTCTGGCGCAATGCAACAAGCTCATCTTCGCGACTGCACCCGCGTTGTTCCAGCAGTTATTTGCCTTGTGCTCATCTCCTGATGTCGAAGTCGCACGAAATGCCTGTGGCGCTGCAGCCAACGTTGCAGAAAATGCACGCACGCATGAGTACATGATCGATACCCATGCGGTGCATGTTGGAGTCAAGGCAATGCGAAGTCGACATCTGCCAGTGTACCGTGAAGCCTCGAGACTGGTGGCTAATCTCATGAGTACGCCAGAGTTCCATGCTGTACTTCTCAATGAAGAAGGACTTGCTGCTGTGGCCCGAGTGGCCAAGATTGAAGACCATGAGTGTCAGTATAATACGGCGCTAGCGCTGCACAAGCTTACTAGCAATTGCGACACGCACCGAGCGCTGCTTGGATGTGGCTCGGTGCAGACGCTGCATATGCTACTTGGCTCTCCTGGACTGGACGTGCAACGTCAAGCAGCGGCAGCGCTTAAGACTCTGACCGCGAATAAAGACAACAAGCCCACGCTTGCAGAAGACGGAGGCACGATGCTGGCGCTTATCTCATTGTTACGAAGTGCCGACGCAACGCTCAAGACCATGGGAGCAGCTGGTGTGCGGCACTTGTCACTGTACGCTCCAGTCAAGACGCAGTTCGTGCATGAAGGAGGTCTACCGCCGCTCTTCAGCTGCTGCGCTGTAGAGGACGACGATGTAAGACTCCAATGCGCTGGAGCTATGGCTACGCTGAGTGAGAACGTGTTGAACCAAGTGCAAATGGTGCGTGAAGGTGCCTTGCCGGCTCTTCTGGAGCTCACCAAGGCCAGCTACAATGCAGAGATCGCACGGCATATCAGTCGCACCTTTGCCAACGTGTCAAGTAACGCAGAGAACCACCTTGGCGTGTTCACGCTCCAGGAATTCCGTGCTATATTCACGTTAGCGCAGAGTACAGAAGAGTTTTGTGGACGTGACGCTGCGATGTGTCTGGGGAATTTGGCCGTCACTTCGCACAACCAGTTCCAGATCTCCGAGCTTGGCGGACTGGTCCCGCTGTCGGAGCTGTTGAAGAGCGAGTTCGCGTCTACACGGCAGTACGCGGCTCGTGCTTTCTACCGACTCAGTGCCCACTCGGAGAACCAGCATCGTATTGTGGACGCCGGCGCCCTCCCTGCACTTGTGGCTCGACTGAACGAGATCGGAGACCAAGAAATCCAGCGCTGTGCAGCCATGGCCATCTGCAACTTGTCAAGTAATGCTAGCAACGAGCAGAAGATCATGAAGGCCGGTGCTATGCGAGCGCTTGTAGCTCTACTGCGGTCTCCGAGCGTCGAGTGTTCCAAGTACGCAGCTATGGCGTTGTGTAACTTGACAGCCAACCCGGCCAACCAGCTGCATCTCGTGGTACAAGACGACGGACTTGATCCGCTCGTAGACCTTGCTGGATCAAGCGACACGGAGTGTTCTCGATATGCCAGCATGACACTGGCTAACGTATCAGCACATCGTCAAAACCGCCTCGTAGTCGTAGAGCGGCATGCTCTTCAACCTCTGCGGGCGCTGTGCTTGTCGCCTAATCTCGAGTGTCAGCGCAGTGCTGCCCTGGCGCTCTACAACGTATCGTGCGCACAAGCGAATCAGCTGAAACTCGTTGAGGCAGGCATCGAGTCGGCGCTAGTTCGACTGGCTGGAGCCAAAGACGGAGACTGCAAGCGTTACGCCACAATGACGCTATGTAACCTGGCAGCGAACAGCGAAACACGCTCAGCTGCAGCACGTGGCGGAGGATTGCAAGCACTGCTACTAGCAGCGAAAGATGCAGCTGACCCGACTGTGCGTCGATACGCCTGCATTGCGTTGTGCAACTTGGCGTGCGCCCCGCTTCTACAGGTCCAAGTGCTTGTTCACGGTGGTCTGGCTCCGATTCTTGCGCTTACTGAGGACGAAGACGACGTAGAGAGCCAGCGGTTTGCTATCATGGCGCTGTCGAACTTGGCTGCGAACGAAAACAACCACGACCACATGATCAACCGAGGTGTATTGAAAGTGGCGTTGCGACTGGGGCAGTCCAAGGACGAAGACATTCGACTGTACGCTGCCTTCGCGTTGGCAAACTTCGCAGGAAACACGGCACAATGCGCCGCTATCGGAGACGAAGGCGGGATCGCAGCGCTCATTATGTTATCGCATGCAGAGGACTCGAATTCCCACACACTAGCTGTATCGGCGCTGCGGCGTCTGTGTCAGTTCTCGGCTCAGAACCGCGGACGTATTGTACGTGGCGGAGGTTTACCGCCATTAGCGATGGCTGGCATGTCGGAGGAACTCGAGACGCAGCGAGAAGTGGCCGCTACGTACTGCAATTTGTCGCTTAGTGACGAGTACAAGGTCGAGATCGTCGAGCAAGGAGCTCTGCGACCGCTTATCAAGCTGGCCCAGTCCTCCGATCTCGAAGTCGCAAGACAAGCGTGTGGCGCACTCGCTAATCTGGCGGAACATCTCGATACGCACTCTCACTTCGTGGCAGAGCGCAGTGGAGACTTCTTGATCGCTCTGATGAAACACCGAAACGAGGAAATCCACCGAGAAGCGTCACGTACGATCGCCAATCTGCTGTCCAGCTTTGAGCACCACACGGATATGATCGCTGACGGTCTTCCGGGTCTTGTTCATCTTGGCTTATCGCTGGACCCGGAGTGTCAGTACAACGCGGCGTTGGCATTGCGCAAACTCGCTCCAAACTTCGCGAGCCATCGTGGGTTAGTGTATGAAGGCGGACTGAAGACTCTGTTCTTCCTACTGCACGCTAAAGAGCTCAATACGCGTCGGCAGAGCGTCCTGGCGTTGCGTGATCTAGCAGCGAACAGCGAGTTCCGACGCAAGTACGTGGAAGAAGGAGGACTGAACGCTCTTGTCACCTTCTTACGAGACGTGGACGCGTCACTTCAAGCCCCTGCAGTGGCCGCGTTGCGTCATTTGACGTCGTCGGCTTCTCACCCAGAGATCAAGCAGCAAGTCGTCGACGAAGGAGCTCTCCGCCCCGTGCTGCGATGTCTGAACACGAATCCTGGCGCGAAAGGGCTACGCGATCTGCAGTGCCAGTGCGTGGGGTTGATCGCGAATGTGTCCGAACACCCCACGAACCAGCAGAAAATTGTGGCGGAAGGTTTGACGAGTGCGCTCGTTGCGTTGGCCAAAGTGGCTCAAGACAGCGCGGAGATTCTGCAAGATGTGAGTCGCGCGCTGGCGAATCTTTGCTCCAACGAGGAGAACCACCAAGCCGTGTACAAGCAAGGAGCTTTGTTGAGCCTCATCCAGCTTACCGAGTCTGCAGATGACGTCACGCAGCGGTACGCCGCGATGGGCCTGCGCTTCTTGTCCGCCAACCCGACGATCCGCGTTCACATCGTGCAAGAATCGCTTCTCCAGCCGTTCATCAGGCTGGCGCAGAGTCCGCTGCTGGATTACCAACGCACGGCAGCTGCAGCCTTCTCGAGTTTCTCTCTGAATGAGGAGAACAAGTTGAAGCTGGTTCGTGACGGCGGCTTGGCTCATATTCTCCGCTGCTGCGCCTACGACGACCTGGAAGTGAAGCGAGATTGCGTCTTCGCTCTCGCGAACGTGGCCCGACTCACTGGAGCACCAACTGGATGTTGTACGCGAAGGTGCCATCTCCGCTATGATTAACGTAGGAGCACACGACGACGCACGCGTACAACGAGACTGCGCGCGAGTGTTCGCTTCCTTGTCCGTGACGAACTCGGTCAAGTCGGAGCTGGTGCGTCAGGGCGCGCTGCCGTCTCTGTTCCGTCTCACGCGCTCGCTGGATGTGGCTACACAACGGTTTGCCACATTAGCGATCTGCAACGTCGCTTCCTCGGGCGACGACAAGGCTTTCATCGTGGAGCAAGGAGCTGTTCGTCCTCTGACGCATCTCATCCGGTTCCCTGACGCACAGATCCAGCGGTACGCAGCGTTGGCCCTCGCAGCTCTGGCACTGGGTGGAATGGGCAACAATAAGCTTCGGCTGATCGAGGAAGGTGCGGTGCCTCCATTGATCGATCTCCTGCGTTATCCAAGCGCAGACGTGCAGCTTTGTGGCTGTTTGGCGCTGAATGCCTTGACATTGGGCAAGCAGAGCGTGACGAAGGTCTCGGTGATGCAGAGTGGCGGACTGCTGCCTCTGCTGGCGCTACTAGCGTCTGCAGACGAGGAATGTGTTCGTTGCGCGCTCTACTGTCTCGGCTCGTTGGCCGAAAGCAAAGATGTGCTACAGAAACTGGTGGAGCTGGGCACGCTGACCCACGTGATCGCATTGACCAAGTGTATCGACACGGAGACGTTGAGGAACTGCGGATACATCCTCGCTCTGGTGGTGGAGCAGCAGACAGACTACCATGACGATCTGTACCGTGAAGGAGGCCTGGACGCGGCCATCGCCTTGGCTTGTGTCGAGGACATGGAGTGTCAGGAGTACGCCACCTTCACGCTGGCCCACTTGGCTTCCAACCGAGAGTACCAAGTTCGTCTTGTCGAGCGTGGAGCCTTACGTCCACTCATCGCCATGATGTCGGTGCATGCCGAGCCGCGGCATTACGCTGGCCTCGCACTACTCAAACTAGCAGACAACTACGAGAACCATCTGCGTATCGCCGAGGAAGGAGGCATCCAGGCTCTGCTACGTATCGCTCGAGCTCGATCTACAGACGAGGAGCTGCAGTACAAGGCGTCGCTCAGTTTGGGACAATTAGCCAGCAACGCTACTCGGTCTCTACCCAACCACACGACTCTGAAATCGGGTGACGCGCTCATCGGCACGAGTGTCAACAAGATGGCTCAACTCACACAAGCGGTGGCTGCCAAGAAAGCCGCAAAGGACAAAACCATGCAGTATCTCGACGACAAACTCGCTCGCGAAGCAGTCAAATAGGAGAAAAAAAGAAAAAGAATGGATCTTTAGTTTTTAGTATTCTACGCATGTTACATGTAGTTGCTGGCCACTTCTTTAACTTCAACTTGCTCAATAGTAAATCAACGTGACGATTGTTATACAGAACTTAGAGTACCCTACAGTTTCGCAATGCTACTACAGTATCTAAGCACGGATAAAAAAACCAGTAGTGCACACAGCTTCGTGGGATATATCTCGCCTGATCTATAGAAAATGTCCACATGTTGCGAAAATAAAAATGTAATGGTCCTCTGAAATCTAACAACCGACTGTCCGCATAGCCTGTTACCAGATTAAACGTAAAAAAGGAAACGAAGAAACCTGCACGAACACATCACAATCAAGCAAGAATCACCTTGTACCCCGAGCTGCTTCTTGATGACTACAAAATAAGAATACATCTATTAAATTATGTCGGAACGAACACTAAAAGGAGCGAGCACGACTATCTGCTCCTCTCTTAAGCGCTTTCAGATCGAGCACGACTATCTGCTCCTCTCTTAAGCGCTTTCAGATCGAGCGCAGACACTCCACTACGGCCCGAGGGCGGTTAGAAGAAGGCTGAGAAAATAGTTGGTTTGGTGTGAGGGCTGAATTACAAATTGCAGTATCGTGCTTTTCAGCATTATGTATTGCAGTATTGTACATGCTTGCAGTATGGCATTGCAAGTATAATTGATCAATGCCGATACTTGAAATATAACTTTACCCATCACTGGTGTAGAGGTTCCAAGTGAATCCACGTTCATTGTCCAAAGAAATGCCATTAAATGACATGGCTGGCGTTGGCCAAGGTTGAATACCGGGCCATCGAAACCAGAGCCACGGTTGCCAACGATGTATCAACACGTGAACGTTTTGCCAGTAAGAAAAACCGGATTGCTCCAGTATCTTCAACAGTCACCGGCAGGCTAGAGCCTGCAACAAGTGAAATTCATTGATATAACCGTTTGTCACGAAAGTACCCTTGTGTGCTTACGCTTGACCTTCTTCTTCTTCTCCTACGATACTAATTAAACCAGCGGCATGACGTTGCGGTGGAAGAAGACAGTGAGACCCAGCAGCATGATGAACACCTGGAACCACAAGAAGGGCGACATCTTGATCTCCCTCCGCATCTGCATCTTGGCCACGCGAAGCTCCTCGGCCTCCTTTGCCAGACACGCAGCGCACGTGGGTGTGGCAACGACAGGCACCGACAGGCGGTTCACGGGCGCGTCGCACTTCTTGCAGCTCGCCATCTTCGTCACCTTCCCACTCGCGATGTCGGCCTCCAGCTGCGCGCGCTTCTCCTTCTCTTCCTTCTCGCGACGGGCGGCCACAATCTGGGGGCCGCGGATCAAGTTCAGGTACAGGAATAGCAGCGAGTTCATGGCTATATCACTGGAGGAGGTGTACTTGGAACAAGTCTTGTAAGTCTGTGCTTTTGCTGGTCGATTGTCAACTGAGAGTTTGAAATGGAGACTGTCGACGAATCGCACTTTACCCAGGGCCTTAATTTAACCAAGATGTACTACTACAGTAGTACCGTAGTAGTGATAACTAGCGAAGTGAGACCGTACCTCTGTGAATGTACACTTCTAGTACTGTAGTATCAACTAGTGAAGTGAGACCGTACCTCTGTGAATGTACACTTCTTTTTCAGCATCCCCACCCGCCGCTCGAGCTCTACAGGACAAGTATCACTACACGGCGTCCGTGAGCTGAAGAGCAAATACAAACCTGTCCGTGCCCGATAGCTCACGAATCGACAGTTTTAATTTATCAGTAAAAAATATGAGATCGCTGAGCTGATCAATTCAACACTCTCGGCGGCATCACATCACTGTACCGATAATGGCGGCGAGACAGCAACCCCCCCACACACACACGCGTGTGGAATCCATATATCGATGCAACCGACGCAACCAAATCGCTACCGTCGTTCACATCCAAGTCGAACGACATTGGTCAGACCTTCTGTAAGGCTTCATAGTAATAAAATAATGGCGGTGCCCTCCAGTGGAGATTCTCCAACGCATACAACATACGCATCCTACATTTATAGCTTTAAGTGCCAATTGTGTTTAACTGGGGTAGGGTTGCATGACCGGAGTTGACAATCCCGTTGCAGAAGTGCCTCTGCACTACCGTAAGTTTCCCAATTTGTGCTGTCACCGGTTTCGACTTTCATCCAATCAGTTATTTCAGAATTACGATCATCAGCCCCGACAAGCAGGAGCGAATGGCGGCGACGGAGGTGATTGTGCTGGACGATAGCAGCGACGCGTCGTCTGAGGGCGAGATGACACGTTCATCAGCTTCTACGACCCCGCCGGCATCTCCAGCGATGAAATGGAGGCGTGCGCAGCCCACTGGCTACGCAGATGCGGTGGAGGCGGCGCTGGCGATGGCTGCCGCTCTCGATACACATGAGTCCAGTGCCAGTGGCAGCACGGCCAAGAAGAAGGAGAAGAAAGCAGCCATGGCACCACCGCTTCTATCTACGAAGACCAAGAAGCTACAGCCAAAGCAACACAGTGACAAGAGACCACTACAAGCAGTGAAATGCCCAGCGAAGACCGTTCACAAAAGCAGAGGACGCATTAAACAACGTCCAGCCCAACCGTCGCGGTCTCGAGCGAGGTTGAGAAGTCTCAGCTCCAGTTCTGGCTCGGATTCCAGCTCCAGCTCGAGTTCTGGATCTCATCGTCGCTCTCGTTTTGACGTTAGAGAGCGGCCAAGTAGCGCTTCAGGAAACACGGAGTCACGTGGGATATTGCGGAAACATGTTGGAGTGAGTGGTCAGCGCCAGGTGAAAAGTCGCCGTCGCACTTCCGCTGGAGCTCATGCAGCAGCTCAGAACAAACAACCGTCAGAAATCGTGGATATTTTGTCGTCGTCAAGTAGCTCCGATTCATCTGTCGGTGGTCGCCTGCGCTCGTCATCGGTGTCTTCACTGACATCGTTGAACAGCGATTCGCCGCCTCGGACGCCCGTGAAGACAGGCAAGAAGCGCCTAGTGCTGAATGGCCACGCGAACGAGCTGAAGCCAACCACCTTTCCAGTGCCAAAGAGCTCCGAGACAGCAGTGAGACGCCCACAATATTCGGCGCATACAAGCAACCAGGCGAAGAATAATACTCAAGCTAAAGCGGCAGGCAAGCGCAAGCGGGTGCTGCCTCAGATGCGACGAGAGATTACTACTGGCTTGAAAACTCGAGGAAGCGATCAAAAGACGAAGAAGAAGTTACACCGGGAAAAAACTGATGAGAGTAGTGCGCAGTCGCGAGACTCCGTATCGAAGCCCTCCCCAGCGACACAGAACGCACCGGTGTGTCTTATGTCGTCGTCCTCGGACTCGTCGGCCTCGCCTTCGCCGGCCGCACCACCGACACCAGTGCCAGCGCGGAAATCCGTGTTGACTTCGAGAACTGCGTCACAGTCGACAGGTCAAGCGCGAGAAGGAGAGACGGACGCGTTTGGTCGATATCATTGCCGCAAATCGGTGTCGAAAACGCCGCCGAGCAAAGCGAAGTCTGCGTCGTCGTCGCCGGCAGTATCTGTGAACTCTTCATCCTTACCGTCGCCATTACTGAGAAAGAAACGACGGGTAGCCACATACTTTGACATGGATCACGTGGCGCTCGATGACCTGCAGGCCCAGGAGCGAGAGCTGGCGTGGATTCGGTCGCAGCATAAGCAGACTCGGAATCGATCTCACTTCACGAAACCTGCCGCGCAGAAGCGAAAGACATGCGAGGGAGTGATCTGCATGGACGACCACTCGGATACCAACAGCACGATAACCTCTGAGGATGGCGATGCTTGGAAGGATCAGAGCAAGACGAAGGTGACGCACGCAACTGTAGCCAACAGAACTACGCGGCTGAATTATAGTAAGGAGATGCTCCACCCCACAGCGTATCGCGGTGTTTACTTTGACGAAGCCCCGCCGAACATTCTTCCTTTCAGTGGCCAGACGTGTAGTGAGCCGTTCGCGTTGAATTGCGAGCACCCGCTCACATTCTATGGTATGATAACGCTGCTGGTTGGTTTGGAGGCCTTCTCCATTGCGTCTGTGTCGCTCTTGTAACAGTGTTGTTTGCTTATTATTTGCGCTGTTGCCTTTGATGATGCAGACGAAACAGAGACGCTGGCAAGCCAGTGCTCGATCCTGGAAAGCTTCGGCAAGCCCACGCAGTGTATTTCATCCGTGTTTCCTAACGAGGTGGCGAGGCCTCAGAGTGACGTCACTCGTGCTGTGAGTTCCTTGGTGACAGCACATCTTCCTATCATTCGTCGCTGTCATCGAAGGAAGGTGCAAGCTATTCTGACAGAGGCCCGTAGGAAGATTGTTACGTACCAAGGAGCATTGAGGAAGTTCAGGAGACCTCCTTACGGTCAGAATGGTATGGCTGGAACTACGTATACTAGTCTTTATTCGGAGGTTCCTTGCTAATGTAGCTTCGGTTGCAAATGTACAGCGGTGACGTCGCATCTGCTTCCTCGCTCCACAGCGGAGAAGCATGCTGTGAGGAAGCTGAAAGCTGTGCAGCACATGTGCAGCCAGAGTGCGGGAAGCGTCTCGTTCCGAATTGGTCGTGGCGACAGCTTCGTGCGAGAGAGAACCGTGTCATCGCTGATCCAGATCAGCCGCGTCGAAGAGATTCCACCTCTGCGGCGGTACACGACGAGCATTGGACTGCGTGGCAACTACCGCGTCGAGGACGATCCGATTCTACGCTACACTGCCATCACAAGGTCGAGTGGAGCTGAGGGTGGGAATGAAAGTGGTGAGAAGTACGGACTACAGGTAGGCAGTGTGGCTGACGAAGAGGTGGCGGAGTTCGTGCTGCGACTGGTGGTTGGTCGTCTTAGCGACTCGGAACAAGTGTTCCACGCGCTGAAGAGCGAGCTCGGCTTCTCTCAGGCGTACACAGCGTACAGCGAACTGAAGAAGCTGCACGACTCGAGGCAGCGAGCAGCCACCAGACTGGATCGGATGGAGAAGCTGGGTCGTGGTGGAAAGCATGCGTGGGATCCCGATGTGGCAGCCATTGTCAACTTGCTAAAGCAGTCGTCGTTATCGAAAGCCAGCCGCGCGAAAGCCTTGAGCAGACGGTTGCAGCCGCCAATATGCAGTTTCGAGTCAAGCATCGTGGACAGTCTCGTGGACGGCGCGACGGCAGGCATCGCAGCGTTAGGCCTGCGTGCGACAGATTCGTACCACGACTTGGTGGACGTGTACCATGGCTCGCTCTGTCGGACGTGCTACAGATACGCCTGCCACGAACATGGAGGCGATCACCCGCTACCGACCAGGCGAGTGGATCCCGTCTACCCTCAAATTGTATTGAAGGCAGCTAGGGAGGCGGGACACTTTGATACTGCTGCAAGAGCTCGTGACAGCTCAGGCAGCTTGGCAACTGTATCACGTGCGGATGAGACGCAGGTCGGCGTGGAGAGCGACGAGGACATGAGCGACGGGAGCAATGAATCTCAAAAGCAACGTCGACGTCAGCGCAAGACCATGACTGATCCATCCGAGTATGTCGATACGTCGCACGTACCGTTGGTGGCGGAAAAGATGCACACATTCCTCTCTGCAGGAAGCCCATGCAGCAAGATGTGCTGGAAGAATGATGAGACCATGGATGCGAGTGCCCAGCGAACTACATTATCAGCAGCAGAGCTTGGTGTGCTTCGAAAGCTCCGAGAGACTATGGGCGACAACTCGTGCCTGCTCTCGGCCATCATGGGCTCTGTTTGTTGTTTTGAGGTGCACGACATGATAAAAAATGAGCAAGCAAATAATGACAACCGCGGAGGTGTGACGGATGGTGTTGGGAGGTCGGGCCGGCGTGTCCGCAACTGGAAGCAGGGGCGCAGGGCGGGCGGAAGTAATCACGAGCTGCTACAGCGAACACGCAACCAACGTCTGCAGGATCGGGGCACGGAGAATCATGAATACCAGCCGTGCACACACGAGGGCATGTGCGATACGTCGGGGTGCTCTTGTATGAAGCGAGACCACATGTGCGAGAAAGCGTGTGCCTGCTCTCGCGACTGTCCAAATAGGTGCGTGAAGCAAGGCGACAGCTTGGCAAGCAATGTTGCCCGTGCTCAACATAAAACCAAAGCGTTAACCATCGCATTGGTTAAAGCATTGGTTTTTCTGATTTGGTTAATGACATTGACCGACAATGACTCAATGTTGCATGTTTGCTGTTTGGCAGGTTTGAAGGTTGTTCATGCTCGGCAGGCGAATGTCGTACCAACCGATGTCCGTGCTATGCGGCGCTGCGCGAATGTGATCCAGACGTATGTGTATCGTGCGGGGCGAGTGAGATTGCTGTGTCGGTGTCTACCGATACGCTCGCACAGAAGAGGTGTGGGAAATCGGTGTGTGGCAATGTAAATGTGATCCGTAGCAACCACAAAAGGTTGGGCATGGGTTTCTCCTCGATCCATGGGTACGGAATGTTTGCACGCGAGGCTTTCTTGGCGACCGAATTTGTGTACGAGTACACTGGCGCCATGCTTTCCCAGGACGAGGCGGAGCGCCGCGGTCTGTTTTACGACAAGATGGAGATGAGCTACTTGTTTGATTTGAACGAAGATGCGGTGTTGGACGCGCTTCGCAGCGGCAACAAGAGCAAGTTCATTAACCACCAGAGTGAGTCGCCCAACTGCACGGCAAAGGTGATGAGTGTTTGTGGTGTGCACCACATCACAATCTGGGCTCTGCGTGACATTGGTGTTGGCGAGGAGCTGGTTTTCGACTACGGCTACAAGCGAAGTGTCGGTCCAGATTGTAGTCATCGTCGGGCGGCATCGAAGGATTCCAGCTAAAGGTGCGTGTATCCAGATCGCATCCGGCTCCGGTCTGAGATCCGTTT